TTTGCCAGGAACCTGTTTGATCTTCCACTTGGTGCAGAGTTTGTCTCCCAGTTGATGTCAGGGTAGTTAAAGTCCCCCATTACTATTGTGATGTGCTTCCTACATACCTTAGTTAGCTGACTAGCAAAAAGTTCATCTATTTCCTCTGTTTGGTTGGGTGGCCTGTAGTATACACCTATGGCAATGTCATTTTCCCCCCTTTTATATTGACCCGAATGCATTCAAGACAAATTTTATCATTGTTGTGCTCTATTTCTGTAGAGATATAGTTATTTCTTATATAGAGAGCAACTCCACCTCCTCTTTTATTTGGTCTGTTTCTTTTAAATAATTTAAATCCCTCTAGCTGTGTGTTCCATGTGTGGGTTTCATCTCACCATGTTTCCAAGTTGTCCAAGTTGATGTCCATCACGACATCATGCGGCTAGCAAGCTGAATTGGTTAATTCAGCACTGTATGAAAAAATACTTCCTAATTCTCCTCACATGCTGTTTCATTCGATAAACTCAAGCTCTAGTCTTAAAAGAGTGAACAAACTGTTTCCATTTCCATTTCCTACACAGTGTGCATAAATCCATATACATTTTGTCTTCTAGCTTCTAAGAAATTTCAAATATTGACTGGTTCTCCGTGTGCTTTGATTGCTTTCCCTTCTGCCCTGGTCCTCAAAAAACAAAGCAATCAAACTAACAAAAAATGCCAAGGGGAAAAAAAGATATTACATATTTGGCTGTGGCACTCAGAATGGTTTCATTGTCTACTTTTAGTAGTGCCTACCATTGTTGGGTACTGACTGCTAAAGAGCAGGCAATGAAACCATTCTGAGTGCCACCTTTTGTGGAGTCTGCAGAGGGATAAAAAAAATCAAGACGCCAGCCAAATCAAAGTCACAGGTTTTTTAAAAAAAAATGTTTAAAAATTTAAAAATGTGCACGACAGATTTTTTTTTAAAAAACTAAGGTTTTGATTATACAATCACTACTGCCATCTTGTCTTCTCTCTCTCTCTCTCTCTCTCTCTCTCTCTCTCTCTCTCTCTCTCTCTCTCTCTCTCTCTCTCTCTCTCTCTCACACACACACACACACACACACACACACACACACACGGAGATGTCCCTGCCAACCACCTTCAAAGCTTTGTCTTTGAGCATGCAGAAATGTTCAAAAGAACATGAGATTTTGAAGAAGAAATTTGCTTTCCCCCCCCCCCTCTGATTTTTAGTGGGCTTGATGAATATTGCTCCTGAAGCTAACTGATGCTAGTGGGGCTTAATAGCTATCACAAGGGAGTGATTTCTAGCAGGGCCAGATTAAAAAGGATTTAATTCTTTTGGTAAATGTTGAAAGGCAGAAAATAAATCACTCCATTTTTTAAAAAAGAACGCGCCTTCCCATGTGCCACGAACTCAGTGAAAATGGAGCTTCTCACAGTGGCTCTTAACTATTAAAATAAAGCAAAAATTAAACAAAGACATATTTGCTGCCACACTTATTTTAGCTCTCAGATTCTGCTAATGAGAAAGAGAAGCCTGGGAATATTGTAGGGAGAGAGAAGCAATATATTAGAAACAGGGGAGGGGGAGAGAAGTGATTCCCCACCCTCCCACCCTTTCCTTGATTCAGAAACTGGCTTTGCAAAGAGGGAAAATGAGCTTAAGGAGGAAGGAAGCCCAGTCGTCTTTCCCAAAATATTTATGACATCTAATTTGTTTGCATATTTCTCAGTACGATTAAAGGGCCATACACAGTTCCGGTGGCTGCTGTGTTTCCTGGCCAGGAAAATTCCACAGAACACCTTTGTTCCTTTCATTGTTCTGAAAAACAACAATTGGAAAAGTTTGACCAATTCTGACCGGTCAAGGGTCATGGCAACATATCGGAAGGGGCATCAAATGGTTAGCCGTTGTTTTGGAAACCCCAGGGTTCTCTCCTTTTATTTCTCAGAAATAATTTATAGAGTCATTTTGAGTCTTCTAAAATTCCTGGCTTTTGTTTGACTCATCTGTACTTTTAAAAACAGAAGGATTGATCAACAATCTTTGAGCGATACTGATGTTCCTACAAAATAGCCAGGGGTAAGGAACTTGTTGACTGCAAGTCACAGTGCACATTTTTGGGCTGTAATCTGAACTTAGCAAATCATTTAAAAAGGCTATGGTAATATGTTTAAAATGATATTTGATTTCTTTATGAATATGACAGCGGTACTTGGGGGGAGGGCAAAAAGAAAAAAGAAAATAAGAATTTGAGAGTTATGATGGGCTGTACATTTGGGAAGGTTGTTGGAGGAAGATTGATCACTAACTCTACACTATTGTTGCAATGTATTATAGATGTTGACAAATGTATATCCATATAGTCAAAGAATGGAAATTCTTTGGTAGGTCAAACTTTTCAGTTCCATTGAGGGTGCATATTCAATTTTCAACAATGCTTGATAATGTTCCACCTCTTTATTTCTGCCTTTTGCAAAAGAATACAGCACCCCCTGGTGGCAGGAAAAATATTATTCCTGTTATCGCATACTGTAATACGTTTCATTTACTCTATTATTTGACTTTTTAAAGAACAAGTTAAATGCAATCTTTGATAACTTGCTTTTTTCATTTTGCAATTACTTGTGCATTTTTTCATTTTAAAGGTATATATGCCATCTTTTAATCAAAATTATAAGAAGTACTCATAAGATTTTTTTTAAAAAAACAAGGATATTTTTTAAAATATCCTTGAAAAAAGTAAGGTTCTACACTTAGGCAAGAAAAACCAAATGCACAAGTATAGTATAGGTGGTACCTTGCTCAATAGTAGTAGCTGTGAGAGGGATCTTGGAGTCCTAGTTGACAAACACTTAAACACAGTGCTAGGCTGCATTAACAGAGGGCTAGAATCAAGATCACATGAAGTGTTAATACCATTTTACAATGCCTTGGTAAAGCCACACTTGGAATACTGCATCCAGCTTTGGTCACCACAATGTAAAAAAGATGTTGAGACTCTAGAAAGAGTACAGAGAAGAGCAACAAAGATGATTAGGGGACTGGAGGCTCAAACATATAAGGAACGTTGCTGGAATTGGGAATGTCTAGTTTAATGAAGAGAAGGACGAGGGGGGACATGATAGCAGTGTTCCAGTATCTCAGGGGCTGCCACAAAGAAGAGGGAGTCAAGCTATTCTTCAAAGCACCTGAAGGCAGGAGAAGAAGCAACGGATGGAAACTAACCAAAGAGAGAAGCAATCTAGAACTAAGGAGAAATTTCCTGATGGTTAGAACAATTAACCAGTGGAACAACCTGCCTCCAGAAGCTGTGAATGCTCCAACACTGGAAGTTTTTAAGAAGAGACTCGACAGCCATTTGTCTGAAATGGTTATAGGGTTTCCTGTCTGAGCAGGGGGTTGGACTAGATGACCTCCAAGGTCCCTTCCAACATCATCATCATCATCATCATCACCACCACCACCACCACCACCACCACCACCACCACCACCACCACCACCATCATCATCATCATCATCATCATTATTATTATTATTTGTAATTATTACTATCATGGTTCTGACAGATGAAACTCTTCAAAAGAAGTTCGAGGCACTGTTTACCTTAAAGAATCTTTTATTCGAGAAGCATAATATCGGCACTACATAATTGAAGCCAAAAACTGAATTCCCCTCCCCTGGGCACAAAGTAGCAAAGCACAATTTTCCTCCTCCAACTAACAGTCATAAATCACATTCCCCAATTAGCTTGAAACACAGGCTTTCTCCACAGCTCTCCAGCCGCCAAATCATTATCAACTCTGGGCTCAGTAAACTTGAATTCTCACAACTTGAAATTGTTGTTATGACTAACTGGACTCTCATCCACATCCCCCCTCCCAGCATCAATCAGCTCTAAAAGTGAAAGAGAAAAATAAATGCATTTCCATCTGTTGTCAAAGCAATAACACCCGATGTTAGCAGCATTGACAATTACATTATTACACCATAGTAATAATGCATCTAGTTCAATAAGAAGTATACTTTGAATTTAAAATGTTAAGGTGAATAAAAATGCCTTGATTCGAGGGAAGTCAACCAGGCTTTGTTTCAGATACATTTTTAAAACATTTTTAAAACCCTTTTTTTGCAATTGCACAATGTAAGGAATTTGAAAAACTCAGCCTTTCAAAACATACATGGGCAGGATGGTCTGTTTAAGCTGCCAGGTACTTTAGACTTTAAACATAAATGCATCTTCGGCCCATCAATGAGTTTGCTAGCAAGATGAACACCTTAGGCATTTGTGCTATGTAATCATGAGGATGTCCTGTTCTTGAAGCCTTAAGAAATCTATGAGTCAGACCATCCTGCTTCTTCTATCCAGATTGTTACTAGAACATTACACCCAGCATTACGACTGCATAATCTGGAGCTCTTCAAAGAACAATTCAGGCAAATGGAAGGAGTTTTATTTGTTAATGTATCTCAGTTCCAATAGTAGAGAGGGTATATAGAGCAAAGTATAGGCAAAATTAAGAAGGAATAAAGGCAACCAGAAAACAGTCTGATTAATTTTTAAAAATGGTTATTGTAGTCAGAGGTTAATTCAGACATAATTCCTTTCAAACAACCATGTTAACTCAGCTGTAATTTGGAGATATCAAACCACTTCCTGCCTAGCATCCTGTGATTCCTTGCAAAAAGGCTTAGTTAAGTCAACACTCCTATTCCAAGCCAGGTTCAATGCTTCAAATCAGTAATAATAATAATAATAATAATAATAATAATAATAATAATAATAATAATAATAATAATAATAATAATAATAATAATAATAATAATAANCATTCACCGCTTCTGGAGGCAGGTTGTTCCACTGGTTAATTGTTCTAATTGTCAGGAAGTTTCTCCTTAGTTCTAAGTTGCTTCTCTCCTTGATCAGTTTCCATCCGTTGCTTCTTGTCCTGCCTTCAGGCGCCTTGGAGAATAGCTTGACTCCCTCTTCTTTGTGGCAGCCCCTGAGATATTGGAACACTGCTATCATGTCCTCCCTCGTCCTTCTCTTCGTTAAACTAGACATACCCAATTCCAGCAACCGTTCCTTATATGTTTTAGCCTCCAGTCCCCTAATCATCTTTGTTGCTCTTCTCTGTACTCTTTCTAGAGTCTCAGCATCTTTTTTACATCGTGGTGACCAAAACTGGATGCAGTATTCCAAGTGTGGCCTTACCAAGGCCTTGTAAAGTGGTATTAACATTTCATGTGATCTTCATTCTATCCCTCTGTTAATGCCGCCCAGCACTGTGTTGGCTTTTTTGGCAGCTGCAGCACACTGCTGTTGATTTTGCTTGAAATCTTTCTCTGCTTCCCTAGGTCTTGGCTGAACTAGGCATCTTTCTTAGCCTGTACTCCTGAACACGGACATTGTTACCATTGTCACAGCTTGGAAATGAAAAACTTAACACTTTCAGTACAGCTGTGTATATGGGTCAAAATAACCACCAGAGATCTAAAGCCCTAGGTCTCTCTTAAGAGCATTAGGTGAACCTTGTCAAAGCAGTCCAAAGGATTACTTTTAGGGGTGATTTTTTGTTTCATTCCCAGGTAGAAGCCTTTGAACCCTAGAAAATGTACTATAGATACAAGACCACTTTCAGGAAAGGCTTCCCAGCCACATGTTGACAGATCTATTGCGTGATGATAGTATATAGCCATTGAGATTAACAGGCATTTATCGGCTTATCTTTTCTTGATAATTGAGAGTTATACATGGAAAGCTTCAGTCACAATTAGGACTGTGACAGTACTTTTCCTAAATAACTTGCCATGGTCTGATCTGAACACAGGAATACTATATTCACCCTGTCCTGCTGACAGAGGGTGGATGGAAAAAATGTCGAAAGATATGTCCCAGGGTTTTGGCAGATTTGACAATAGGGGAATAAAATTGGGTAAGGGCAGCTTTGTAAAAACAAAACAAAAGCTTCCCCCCCTTTTTTTTCAGTAGATACCTTTGAACCAAGCATACAAAAATGCAAACTAACTTTGACTAGCCACTTGTCTGGGGGTTGGACTAGAAGACCAATTCTGTCATTCTGTTCTGTTATTTCTTCCAGCGAGTTACTGGTTGTATCCTGTCCAATGTGAACACACCTTCTCTGACGCCAGTGATTGGACAGCCTCAGAACGAGACCCCACAACCTATTTACCAGAACAGCAACCTTTCCAACAAGCCAACTGCAGGTAAGAGTGAGCAGAAAGCCCAAATGTAGAAGCTCTTGAAAATAATAATAATAAATGTGGTAATCCAGGTGAGAGAAGAGAGCCTGTGATGGTGTTTTCTGCCTCAGGTGCCGAAATAATTGGCCAGATTAGATTTTTGGCACTTTGACATCTGGAGGGGAAAGCCGTGTCCTCTTCCATCCAAAATAAGCAAAATGTTTCAATCAGACCTTCTCATTCTTCTTTATAATCTGTACTCAGGATAGCTGCCAGTCCCTAATTACAAACCTTCCACTAAATTGCACGTTGAGGCATTTCAGCCATTCCTCATCCTTTCATCTGCTGCTTTGTCACCTTCTGACTGGCACACCTGGTTTGCTCTTGGCTTCAGCAGGTGGTAGAGAGTGCACAAGAAAATAGGAGAAAAACTGACTGGAACAGCTGCAATGGTGCGCGCTTGGAGTGGGTTTAATGGCGCAGGGCGAATTTTTTATCTTGCAAACCACTAATCCTAATTATCCAGTGAGAACTGGATATTAAAATATTTGGTTCCAAATATAAACAACTGCTGGGGGCAGAGAAAAAAAGGGGGAAATAAATCCTTTTCATTTTTTGATCAGTAGGTGTTACTGCCTTCAGATGCAACACAAATGCCCTGCTAGTCCATTTAGTCTAGCACAGGGATGGCGAGTCTTTTGGACTCAGGGTGTCAAAACTTCGGAAAATGCCAAACGTAATGCTGCTGGTGCCTGCCCCACGAACAAAAGAGAAACAACTCTTTACATATTCAGTTACTTTTTTAAAAAAAAATACAGCCTAGTTGTGTGGTAATCAGTATTATACAAAGAAACATCAAACATCAAACAATTACAAAAATAAAATATAGTTAAAACTCATGTTCAGAAAGTCTGGAGATCTTGTGAGAGCACGGCCCTTTCACGTGATTTGGGGAGGGTCTGGAAGTTGCATGAGAGCACACATCGCCCTCTGTGACCTCCCAAAATTGTGCAAGAATGGGGCGTGCTTTCTAGAATAGTTGTTGGGTCTTGTTGAACATTTTTGTGTTACCCAAAACGTCATGGCCTGTCACCTTTGATATACATCATAGGTTCACCATCTCTGCATCGACCAACCAGATCAGATCTGGCATTCTGAGATACACTACAGTATCTATTTATACTTTGTAAATATATATATTTATTTCTGTTTTACATTTAATGTGCATGCTCAAGATGATACACTAATCTTTTTTTAAAAAAAAATCAAAATAAATTAAACTCAATCGTTTAATAGTAGCTGTAATTGCTCATTAGCTGGAAATGGCTGTCGAAGTTCATGGATTTGGATTCATTCTTTCTTTACTACATATTATTTTCATTGTGGATTTTAATTAACAGTTTTTGCTTTAAAGTATCTTTGTCTCCCAGTTTCATTTTCAATGCATATGTTATTGTGTATTGCCAAAATACACAATCAGCAAATGGTGCTCTAAGTGAAATAAATATATAATTTTGACTGGATTTAGTATTATTTTAAGTACATGGGTCAAACTGGACTACAAGCATCAGTGCTTGGCTCTTGTTAATTACGTAAACTGCAGAGGGGAAAATTGCATTTTACTGATTCCTGTCTGAATGAGAGGGCACATGTTTTTGTCTGCTGTGTAATTCTCAGAAACAAACGCACGTTTGTGCTGAGTTTGTGTTGGCAACAGCAGTAACATTTTGTCAAAGGAAGTATAAAAAAAATGCTGGTGATCAATTCACAATCCACACATGTGTTATTTTAAATTGTGTAGTAAAGCCATTGAATGTAAGGGTAATATTGTTCAGTTGTAAACTGTAGTACTTCCACCTGTATTGAATGCTGATTTTTCTATTTTATCCTCTACTTTCCTTCTTTCCTTAGCAAAACTTTTGGGGAAAGTGGGAGAAAGCCTTAGCAGGATTTGTTGTGTTCGTCCCCCAATGGAGCGTTTCACCTTTGTGGGTATGTTGTTGAAATGTGGTTGTCTGTATGACTGAAATTAGATTCTTTCCTAGATGTAGATGACCAGGCTGAGCCTGAGGGAGGAGTCAAACGTGTCATGAATCATGAGTCACTGCATGCCCACAAGAGATTTAAGTCCAGCCCACCTTGAATGCCTTCTTATTACCATTCATTTCCCTTGACCGTTAGTAGCTCAATTTTTTGTAGAGAGCTTAAGCTTGCAATAAATCTTTATACTCATTTGAACTGCTTTAATCTCCTGATTTCAACGGCACTTGACATTAGCTTTTCCTTTGGAAATTGTTGTAGAATTAAACAGAACAATCAAATGATTTTTACCAACCGTAGCTGATGATGGGCCTCTGGCAATACCAGTTTCATTTGATTTATCCCCAGGTATTTCTAGGACTGTGCTGAACACTGACATACTATATTTGAATTACTTTGGATGTATTTTAGAAAAGTTGATCAATCCAAACCAGGACTGAAAATGATTTTTTTTAATTAATATCACACTTGCTTTTCAGGCTCAAAAATCTGCTCAAAAATCAGGCTCAAAATATGTCAATACTGGATTAAACATTTTATATATTCTGGAGTTCAGAAGAAACTCTTAGGGGCATATTAGATGTGGAGGATGACTAAGTAGTTGAAATAACGCATTCAGCATTTGGGCTGGCCAGCCTCTTCCACATTTAATTTCCCCACTTCATTTCAGCCACTGTTATTATCACTACTTAGAACCCTCATTTTACTGTAATTACTTTTAATTACACTCTTTATAAAAGGTGCTCTAAGTACAGTTGTAAAAGGGCAGGATAATTGATAGTGTAGTAAGATTTGCTTAGTAAATATAGTGTTTTTAACTAATAGATTACCTCATTGTAGGTCTTCCTGTGAAATACAATTTCCTTTTCTTGCTTTCTAGATGAAAATGCTAATTTGGGGACTGTGATGAGATATGAAGAGATTGGTAAGTGAGCATCATCCATAGGCCCTTATAAAAGTGGGCATATTTGCATATAAAAGAGGCAGAAGAGTTGTGGTCACTTTATTGTGCAATTGATGTTGATTTTAGTTGGAAAAACAATCCATACATGCAAAGGGCCAGGGTGTAAAGGTAATGGGTAGTAGGAGTTTATGGGGGCTGTATTGCATGTATATGTCAGATGGGGAAAACTGCAATATATCATCTACAAAGACACTACTGAATTCTGCAAAAACTCTTGAAAAGCTGTGCATTACTTGGAACTGATTTCAACCAGTGCTTTAGAACATGAAGAGACTATAAATTTAGCAGTTGTCTGTAACTTCTAAACAATGGTTGCACCTCTTCCAAGACTGTGAAATTTTAGGAAAAGATTTAGCTGTTTCGTAGAGTTGTAAATGGTGCCACCTTTGTGTTTCTCCTTCCAAGCCACCTTTTTGGGATTGAATCCAAATGACTTGTCTTGCTGTATACTATGCAGCATCCCAGATAAGAACATGCACATGATGTCAAAGAACCAGCATTGCTTTTCAGACTGACAAGCACCTAATAATGAATTGGGGATGTAAAAAACTATTCTAAATCTACTTCATGTGCATTGACACTCATTTTCACTTATAATTGTAGTTTGTAAATTAATCTTACAATTAAAAACCCACATTCATTATCACTGTAATCTTCCCTAACACATGGAATTATGCATTCCCCTAATGTGCACTTATCAAAAATAACTACCCCAATCTCTATATTTTTTTGTACTCAGCTTTTCCAACTATGTCCACTTTGGAATACATTTGTCTTAAATATCCTTTTTTGTGCCAATCCATAGAATGGAGCATGACAGAAGCTAGCAGGCCATAGCAGACTCCACATTTTTAAGATTCTTTATCCTTGATGTTGAATATAATTTTATGGGAACCTACCTGCAAATTCTATCGCGCCCTGCCATTATGGAGTGGAGTGTCAGGTGGTGAAACATGGCATAATGGAAATAACTCTTTGAACACTTTCCTGCATTCCATAAGCTGAGTCCCCTTCAGACATAAGGCAGAAAGATATAGTCAACTGCATCAGAAGTTTTATGAGTATAAAGAACGGTTGCAGGAATTGGGTATGTCTAGTTTAATGAAAAGAAGGACTAGGGGTGACATGATAGCAGTGTTCCAATATCTCAGGGGCTGCCACAAAGAAGAGGGAGTCAACCTCCAAAGCACCTGAAGGCAGGTCAAGAAGTAACGGATGGAAACTAATCAAGGAGAGAAGCAACCTAGAACTAAGGAGACATTTCCTGACAGAACAATTAATCAGTGGAATGACTTGCTTCCAGAAGTTGTGGACGCTCCAACACTGGAAGTTTTTAAGAAGAGAGTGGACAGTCATTTATCTGAAATGATATAGGTTTCCTGCTTGAGCAGGAGGTTGGATTAGTAGACCTCCAAGGTCCCTTCCATCTCTGTTATTCTGTTTCTGCTTTTATGTTTATACAGGCATAGAAAAGTCACTGCAACATGCATTATATTGGTGCACAAAATTGCCAAAAGTGAAGATAACACTGACATTGCTTAAGGAATATTAGTGGTTGGTGAAATAGATAAACTGACAGGTGGTAACATTTCTAGAGTGCTTTCACAACACAGGAACCAGAATTCTGCCTTAAAGCCCTGTCTTTTCTGCTCCCCTTCCCTTTTCAAGCCTTTGCATCAAGGCAAAGAGATTAGTGGGGAGTGGTTATCCAGGGAACATCTCAGATTCTGTATCTCTTTTCTTCAGAGCTCCGAATCTTGCTGCTGTGTGGAAGCGATTTGCTGGAGTCCTTCTGTATCCCAGGCCTCTGGAATGAAGCTGATGTGAGTAGATAACAGAAGATGGTCAAAGCTGTGATCTTCCTTCCTTCCTTCCTTCCTTCCTTCCTTCCTTCCTTCCTTCCTTCCTTCCCTCTTTCCCTCCCTCCCTTCTTCTCCATTTACACACAGTAGCTACTGATTTAGCAAAATATACTTCCTGAGGAGTTTTGTTTACTTTGTGATGGCTTGGGAAATCATAGATTGACAGGCTACTTCCACCTTCTCTGTTCGTGACCCCTTCTTTTCCAGTTCTGACAATAGTAAAAGAACAATAGTGATTTTTATAGTGCAGTTGGAGAGGTATTTTTTGTAATGAAAATAAATATAATTTCATGTTTCAGTAGTAGGAGGTTATTAACCGATTACTCTTACGATCATATCAAGAAGATAAAAATACTTGCCTCAGCCTTTGCCAAATTTGTTTTAAAATGATTTACTCACAATTGTAAAGTAGTAAGGATTTGATTAAATGTTCTTATATATGCATATGCTGGTTCACCCTTTAAACTGGATTCTCTCAAGATCTGAGGACTGCAATTCCCAGATTCATCCCTTAGGGCAGGGGTTCCCAACCCTGAGTCCGTGGACCGCACAAATAAGCAAAGCCTCATCAGTGGGATGCAGGCAGCACACAAAATCACACGGCCTCCGGTCCATGGAAAAACCTCTCTCCACGGAACCGGTCCCTGGTGCCCAAAAGGTTGGGGATCTCTGCATTAGGATAACTATTATTGAGAATTCCAGGAGTAATGCATAGGTTGGGAAGCCTCTCAGAGATAAACCTATAGTAGAGGTAGTCCTTTACTTACAACCATTCATTTCAACCATTCAGAGGTGAAATGGCTCTGAAAAAGTGACTTATGACTATTTTTCACACTTACAGCAGCATCCCCACGTGATTAAAATTTGGGTTCTTGGCATCTGACTCATATTTATAACAGTGTTCTGAGGTCATGTGATCATGTTTTGCGACCTTCTGACAAGTAAAGTCAGCGGGGAAGCCAGATTGACTTAACAATCATGTTATTAATTTAACTGCTGTAGTGATTTATCTAACAACCTTGGCAAGAAAAGTCGTAAAATGGGTCAAAACTCAACATCTGTCTTGCAACAAAAAAGTTGGGCTCAATTGCAGTCATAAATCAAGGACTACCTGTATATGAATATAAAGCAAAAGGATTCTTTTCCCTTGCCTCTTTTAAGGAGAAAACAAATTTCCTGTAAGAAATTATGTGCATAAAAGTTTAGCTATTGAGGCTTTAGACAAAGATCTCTGGCAGTCAGGTGTGAATCAAATCTTTCCTTCCTCTCTCCACCCTTCTGGTTCCCAAAGCAGTGGATACTGCTCATCATACAGCTTGCTTGCATCTCTCAGTGCCTGTAACTTCATAGAAGCAAATCTTCAGCAAGCTTTCTCTTATCCACTATATACTGTATTATGCAATTTCATTAGTCCTATTTCTTTACAAAGTAAGCAGTTTCCAGAGTATTCTCAGTCATACCTTACATGACCCTTTGGTTATACTACAGTATTACTTTCTTTAATTTCTCCCATATAAATTAACCAAGTGATTTTCTTTCTTTGAGAATAAGTGCTTTTCTAATAACCTCAACATCTGAACATCTTCCTGAACATTGATTCATTTGCCTACCATTTCCTCAAATCTGCCGAAAGATTTTTGTAATATAAACACATCATCGCCAATAAGTGGGCCAATTCTAACAACAACTTGATTGGTATTCCGGTTTGGAGCGGTTGCCTTTCGCTATGCTATTATTGATGTTTTGTTCTAATCAATGGAAGCCATATCATTTGATCATCATTTCTTGCAGCACAGGGAGAGTGTTTTAGCTGATCTCAAGGTACATGGAAATGCATATTTATGTTGGATTTCATATGAGTGAAAGTATCTTTCAAAGGGAGTTGTAGAGATGCCTTGATGCAGCCCAGGACTGTGTTGGCTGTTTTGGCAGTGTACTGCCAAAAAAGCCAACACAGTCCTAGGCTGCATTAACAGAGGGATAGAATCAAGATCACATGATGTGTTTTATAATAAACTTTATAATGCCTTGGTAAGACTACACTTGGAATATTGCATCTATGCCTTGATTGCCACAATGTAAAAAAAGATGTTGAGACTCTAGAAAAAGTACAGAGAAGAAAAACAAAGATGATTAGGGGACTGGAAGCTAAAACATAGGAAGAACAGTTGCAGGAATTGGGTATATCTAGTTTGATGAAAAGAAGAACTAGGGGATAACATCATAAAGGGTTCTAATAACTAAGGGGCTGTCACAAAGAAGAGGGGGTCAACCTATTTTCCTGGAGGTAGGACTAGAAGCAATGGATGGAAACTAATCAAGGAGAGATCCAACCTGACTTCTGGTTTTGCATAGTCATGGAACGGGACACAGGAAGGCAGGGCTCTGCCTTCCGTGCACGATTTTGCCCTGCTGGGGACCCTAAAAAGAGCCTAAAATTGCCCCGAAGAGGCAATGAAGAGGAGGGGTGCCTTGTTGATCACGGAGAGATGGTGGTCTTTCCATTCGGTCCAAGGAAAGCCCTCCAAACCACAGGGGAAAGACTGGCTACATTCCTGTGGCTGGCCATTAGTTGCTGACAATGGAAGAAGAAAAAGCACCAATTAACACATTGTAAACAGCATGTTTGGCACTGGGTGAGAAATTTGATCCTTTCTTTACTATTTTACAACTGAATTTCCTGGGAAAGGTTCCCAAGAAGCTAAAAACCTCCGAATGTGAACAGAAGCAGTGTTTTAATTTTATGGGGGACAGAAACATAATACTGAACTGGAAGTAACATAAAGCTACAGTTTTGATAAATTTGAGAACTGAGATAACTGTTAAGATTTTCTCTTTGAAAAAAAAACATTGAGGCGAAATATAAGAAATCAACCCTTTGTCTTAAGAGTGGAAAATGGATTTTGAATGACATCTAATGGTGGATTTGTGTACAGCACTATAATTTGCTTCCTGGCTGCTTGGTGACTCCTAGCTTGGGAGAACAGCTGGCAATAAAGGAAAATATTTTGGCATACTTATCACCCTGACCTTCTTGGATTATAAATACCTACTAAGCTTGGACTTTTAACCTCAAGACTAGTGGGAGAGAAAGAAAAATTTGACCTTGGAGTACGTCTGGCTGGGAGAGGCTTTTGAGCTGTTTTCAGGGAGGTTGAACATTTTGAACACTTTGAACATTGTGGATTACAACCTTGCCTGACTGACAATTTTTGGATACTTGAGGCAAAAGATCATTATAAAATATTGCTTTCAGGACTGGACCTATACTCTGGAATCTATTAGATTATAAAGGCTACATATAACGACCAGAAAACTAGAGGAAACTTAGATTTACTCTTACTGAGACTGGTGATACTAGAGGATCTCCAGGAACGATGCCTCAAGAAAAAACAAACACTTTTCAGAAGGAAATATACTCTATGCTACAACTATTTCACCAAACAATTGTCGCATAGAAAGAGGACATAAAAAGAAATCACAATGAGACTAAAAATAATTTAGATAATATAAATGAGCAAATCTCCAAATTAAATCTACAACTAGAAAGTTCCCAGATAACGACTACAAAATATGAACAAATAAACCAGAAATCAAAACATGAAACAGAGAAAATGGATTTAGAGACGGAAGAGATAAAAGAAGGGAAATATAAACGACCATACACAAACAAAATACTGCAAGACTTAGCCATAACAATGAAAATGCAAAAGACCCTTTACCCCTTAGGTCTGCAAAATACATCTGATGGCAAGGAAGAAGATTTTTAAAAATGGAATATAGAGCTGTTAGGGGAAATGTCACAACATGGGAGAAATTGAGGGAGAAGGAAACTGGAAGTTTCTTAAGGAATGTAAATGGGTGGAATTCCTCCCCAAAAATACTCTACCTAAATTGTCTTCCTCATGCCAAGCAATTTTCACAAAAACAGAAAAAAAATTCCTGGGCGATCTAATTACCCTGGCTTAGAAAGCTACTTGGCAAAGAAAGAAAGCGAGAGTCATATTTAAAAAACAGAAGACTTGATCTTTTAGAGGGGGCATTATATGTTTAAATACTTGTTTGAATAAGATTAAAAGAATGGATGACCCTTAGATATAATTAGACTTTTATAATGAAAGATATGATTTAGAACTAAAATAGTATTTTTTTTCTTTCCTTTTTTTGATATGGGAAATATGAAAATAAGAGGAGGATTGGTATGAATAAAACCTATAGCTATATAAATGTAATTAATATTGAGAAAATTATAACTGGCAAAGATTTTAAATACTGATGGGAAATCAAACCTTAACAAGAGCACAAAAACAGGATATTGATTCATGAACTGATATTATTATTTGTATGATTAGTAAAATATGATGAAGATGCTTATATCTAACTTTGTATAGTTCAACAGTTCCAAAAATTGTAACTGTGTAATGAGGGGAAAATGGAAAAAATATGAGGAAGAAAGGAGGATCAGGGGGAAAAAATACTGGATTGTGTAGTACTGAACAGATTTATATTGAAGAAGTTAATGTTAAATATCTGAACCCAGACAACATGTTGTTTACTAAGCACTAAAGATTGTAATTCTTAAAAATCAATAAAACTTTTTTATTTAAAAAAAGGAGAGATCCAACCTAGAACTAAGGAGAAAGTTCCTGTTAGTTAGAACAATTAATCAGTGGAGGGACTTGTCTCCAGAAGTAGTGGGTGCTCCAACACTGTAGGTTTTTAAGAAGAGGTTGGACAATCATTTGTCTGAAATAGTATAGGATTTCCTGCCTGAACAGGGAATTGGACTAGAAGGCTTCCAAGGTCCCTTCCTGCTCTATTATTCTTTTATTGATTTCCCTGCAAGTATCTATAGTTCACAATATTCAGCCAGAATTGTGTGCTATGTTTTTGAAAACTCTGTGGAAGCCTTTGAGAGACCAAAAAAACCCCCCACAGATTAGCAAGAAAATGGATTCAAATATAACCAAGTGCATAGAATACATCTTCACTGGAAGCCAATAACCACAAAATTGATTCAGATTTAGGAAAAAGTTTCTGTAAATGTTTGTTTTCATAAAAGACATTCATTCTAATTTAAACAGATGGAGGTGATTGTGGGGGACTTTGGTATCGTTGTTGTCCCACGAGATGGTGCTGATACCGAGAGAATCATGAACCACTCCTCTATACTTCGCAAGTATAAAGTAAGTTTTGTTGTTCTAAAACTGCAGTGATAAATGGACTCTAGGCTGGGACTCAATCCTGCTTTCCCGAACCTCTCTGGTTGCATACATATCAGCTCTCCCAAGTAGGGAGGCATGACTAGATGAGCTAATTCTACTTTGTTGTAAAGCTACATTAAGATAATCTTGCAAGTCTGAAGGTATAAACTTCTGCCATTCTTAATTACCTGAACAATTATGGCAGGTCCTTCTTAAATTTCTTCCTCTGAGCATTAATCCATTGGGGGTTCCTGTCTCTTTTGTCTAATTGTTTCCTAGGCAGCTTCTCTTCCCCTAGTACCCAAAGATCATCCACACATTCCATTACAATACAGTTGTCCATTTCAGGTTTGTCTACATAGTGGGCAGGAATTCTACTGGAATTCTGTCTTCTAGGTTTCTGAGGAAGTTGCAGCCAGGACAGTAGAAGAGCTTTGCCTGGAAATAGTGTCAAGTGCCAGGGAAAACAAGAGATGCAGGCAGTTCAAATGACTATAAAGATTTATTACAAGCTTAAGCTCTCTATAAGAATCTGGCCAACTGACCATTAAGGAAAATGTGGGGAAGGTAAAGAGGGGCATTCAAGGTGGCCTGGACTTAAATCTCTTGCGGGCATGAAGGGACTCATGACTTATGATGTGTTTGACTCCTCCCTCAGACTCATCTCCTACAAACAGTCAAGGATAAGAATAGCCTTCTTGTCCAGTAATGGTATTTGGAAATGATCTTGGGAGACAGAAAGGACGGCCACAGACCATCCTTTCCCATAAAAGAGATTTCAGTCTACAGAAGAAGGAAGCTGCAGAGGGAAGCATTTCAGCAGGGACCCTCCCTAGTTTTCTGGAGAGTAAAAGGAGAGGAAGGAAGAAATAGTCTTGCAAGATTCCAAAACCTCACAGCAAAATTAGCACTCATAACTGTGCTTCTTTTCTGGACTATCTTGAAGGGCTAGCATGTCCTAAGCAGGCTCAGGATAAAGTCATTAAGTGTTTTAGTCTCTTAAACTTGGATTTTCACCTGCAGCAATATGTTTTTAACCCCCTTCTTTAAAATGCAAGGATTCTGACAAAAGTGAGCAAGTGCCACATTATTTTGAGCATAGGCCTTTGTTTCAGAAAAATTTGATGGCTTCGCTATATATGAAAGGCAAGCAAAAGAAGAGTAGGAATAACCTACTGTAGAGTCTGACTGAGACTTGGATTCCCCTAACTTTTGGTTTGTGTATCCCAACCTTAATCTGAGCTATTTAGAGAGAAAAAAATTGAATACAATTAGTTTTGTTTTGCAATAGCTTTTCCTTTTTTTCTATTCTGCCAGATAGCTGCATACAACATTTACAGAGATTTACGATTCATTGATTTTTTTTTTTAAAAAAACAACTTCATTAAAAACAATTGGAGTACAATAAATACTAGGTTAGTTTAAAATAATTTACAGTGAAAGATAATGTCTAAATAAAAATGTTCAACTCTTCCGCTCAAAATACCAATTCAGTACAATTTCACTGTCCTTTTTTTAAAGATAGAGCTCAGAAACAATGGGGGAGGGGATGGCATTCTAAGGTAAGGATGCCATAACTGAAAACTGCCCTTCTGTTGAGTTTGCAAATCTTAAATGCTAATATCCTGCTTCAGTGAGCATGTGGAAAGATTCACGCTTATATCCCTGGCAATGTTTCCTCTGCAGAACAATATCTTGGTTGTGAAGGATGATGTGAATCACCCCATGGCTATTGTCAGTTCCACTAAAAGCAGGTGAGTGAGGGGAAGGTGACTTACTGGGGAGGGAACAAAATAGCAGCAAGATCATGGTTAAGAAATTTCCAAACTGGTTTGGTTGGAGAGGCAGCCATCTATTCAAGGACAGAGTATTTGATAATGTAGGTAGTTCTCGACTTGCAACCATTTGTTTAGTGACAGTTCAGAGTTGCAACAGTTCTGAAAAAAGTGTCTTAAAACTAGTCCTCACACTTAACAACTGTCGCAACATCCCTGTGGCCATGTGATCAAAATTCGGACGCTTGGCAACTGGCGTGTATTTATGACAATTGCACTGTCCAGAGGTCATGTGATCGCCATTTGCAACCTTCCCAGCTGGCTTCCGACAAACAGAGTCAATGGGGGAGGCCATATTTGCTTAACGACTGCATGGTTCCTTTAACAACTGCAGTGATTCGCTTAACCGCTGTGACAGAGAAGTTCATAAAGTTGGGCCCGACTCACTTAACACCTTCCTTGCTTAGCCATGGAAATTCGGCCATAAGTCGAGGATTACCTTTACGACAGAACTCTTTTTATTCCTCTATTATGTCACATTCTGAAGTGGCCAACTGTTTCCTGTGTATACAGAATAAAATACAGGCACATGAACAGGCAGGAAAATTTGGGATGGAACCCATAAGTCCTGCCTGCTGATTAGAGCTACAAAGTTGTTTCCCCCTGTCCTTCACCTTTTTTGACTGTTGTGGAAACCCTAAATGTGTCAGGAAGTTTGTTATACAAAATAACGCCAGTGTTCTGATGACTGGTTTAAGGGCACTGTAGAGTTGAAAAGAAATAAATTGTGGAAGCTGCAGCTGAGTTCATCCAGAATTTTAAAACTTTGGCAAAGGAGAGAACTTTTAATTAGTTTTAACTTGCTTATATTTCACTAAGATATCTACCCACATTTGTTGCATAAAGAGCAGGCAATTTAAATTCTCCCTGGGCTACTGTCTTCGGTTGGCATGAGGTGTGGGTTGGAGAAAAATTATATCCTGGATTCCATTTGCTACATTAATGGCTCTTTGCATAGATTATTTCTTAATTAGGTTAAGCAAAAATCTCTCTCCCCCCCCCAATGAGATATGTCACAAGGGTTAGGCAATACACTAGGATAGGGGTGGATCACTTGTAGCTCTAGATATACATGCAGCCTGATTCCCCTTTTTTGGCAGGCCTTGGAGCATCTTCTGACCATAATTACTAGAAGCTGTGACACAATTTGTGGTGGGAAACTGATGAAAAGTATACAGGAACTGACAGACTTGTCACAGATGACGCTCACTCTGCCCACTTGTGTCATCTAGCCACCTCTCTTTGCAGTCCTCAATTCCCTTCTCCCAACAATGTTAAGTGAGGCTCTTTGCCATCAGTGAGCAATTGCTCATTACTTTAAGACCATTTTTTTGCCTCTGCTCTCCAATGGGTCTCTTGGAAATGGGCCAGATAGCAAATTATGCAGGGGTTAGCATAGGAAAACCAGAAGAAAGGTATGCCTGTCTGGTTTTAAAGTAACTTGATTCATGCTTTTCTCTTCCTTCTTCTTTCTCTGTCCACCCCTCACAGATTGGCCCTTCAGCATGGCGACGGGCACGTGGTGGATTACCTGAGCCAGCCAGTCATTGATTACATCCTCAAGAGCCAGCTGTACCTGAATGCCTCCGGTTAAAGCTCTTGCTGGCATTGTGGCAAAGCTGCCATGTGGCGCCACCTTCCTATGATTGTTCATCACTGTTCTCTTTCTCACTCTTCTTTCTTTTTCAATGCCTCTTGCGTGCATCTGCCTATTCCACTCTGGTTTGTTTTTTCCCCAGCCCTAGGAATTGCTGCCTACAGCTAACAGCCAAGTACATACGCCATCAACCGTTCTCCCCTTGTAGTTAGGAGGGAAAAAAGTAAAGAATATCAGGCACTATTACTTAAAAGGGGGAAGATTAGGATTGCTCTTCCCAGCATGCAACAAGGGAAACAACATTATCCCTTCCTCTCTTCCCCTGTTGGCTAAATAAATCTCAGTGGGGCTTTTTATTTTTACTGCTTCTCATTTGCTTTCTCAACCCCACCCCCACCCCTAAATTGGCTTTTTTTTAATATAATTGCCATCTTTACGGTGACAATGAGGTGGCAAGCTTATTAAAAACTAAACGCCCACCAGATATTTTAGGACATTGATAGAAGAATTGAGCAGTGAACACAAGAGAAAGCAGAAAAATAGAACTGCCCATCCATAATGCTTTTCTGCAATGAGAATCTTTTTGTAAAGGTTATTGGAGAAAAGGTGTAAAAAGCTCAGAAAGCAAGTTTGCTTCCTATTTAGCATCTCTCCCTCCCTTCCACTCCATTGTAAATAGGTATCTGTTTCAGAAGGAGAGGATGACATGGTTTTATTTTGGTTGTGATTGTACTCTCACATCTTTTTTAAAAGGAGCATTTCTTAAAAGTGGGGAAAGAACCACAGAACACAGGTCTCTTGAATGATAGTGATGTGGCCCTCAATCGTCTGTCCCTGGATTTTCATGTTTTTCAGAAACCCATCTGGAGTTTAACTACTTTTCATGGTGTACTGTGGCTGATTTTATAATTGTAGGCTGTTTCAGTTCATTATTGTCAAGGAAGTACATGTATATTTCTTGTAGGCAACAACTGTACATGGTCCTACAGTCTGGCAGCTTGTTTTCCATGGATTTTCTTTCCCTTGATGGAAAGAAGCTGCTGCTGAAGTTTATGCTGTAAAATAGACACTTTATCCTCCATGCGGAAAACAAACCCTCTCCCAAACACAACAACAATTACAAAAAAGCTGCGTAATAGCTGGAGTAGATTAAATGGTCCACCAATATGACTGTTTAGTATCGTGTGGATGTTATGAATACTGAGAGGGGCTAGGATCATTGGAGAATATCAGTGGTGGCAAATGGCAGCTTCACAATCAGGAAAACAGCTTGAGCTTTCCACACTACTGGCAGTGTAGCACATAGACCAGGAGGATCAGTTCAGCTGGGGGGGGGGGAACCTTAGTGACCCTTTTTATGAAAAAAATAATAATAACCTGTTTATTTTGTGCTGTGTGCTTATTCATTGAAATGAGTTTGCCTGTTTTAGACTGCAAAGTTAGAAGTATTTAATTAGGAAGGACAGAACTGGTTAAAAAAAAAAAGTCAGCCAGAAAGATGGGGATTTTTAAAAAAAAACAAAGTTGAAGTGTTACCGTGTTTTAATACTCTTCTATTTATGTCATTTATCTCTTTTTTTAAAAAAACTATAGCCAGGGATGCACTTTAGTACTAATTAAAAGATTGATGGGGGGAAAATGGGTTTCTAAATTAACGCCCATTGCGAGAATTAATGTCAGTGCCTGCATCTAAACCGTACCCTAAAAAAGATGGGTTAGCACGATCAGAATTTACACCTGTGGATATTATGCTATTCTTTTATTCTCACAAAGGTTGTCTTTTATAAAGTAAGAAGGCGGCAGAAGTAGCCCTGGGAGAAAAATACAGATGGTTGGTAAATGTCATGTGGGTTTCCCTGTGAAATGTGAGCAAACAAGGTATGACAATATCCTGCTGAATTCCTTGGGTGCACAATCTCAGATGTGAAGTGTTGCGTAAGAACCAGCTGCCATTCAAACAAGCACTTAGAAACCAGACGGAATAGCTGAGGACAGAGATGTCTTGATGAGGCTCATCCTCGTCATTTACTGTAGCATCCAAAGCACTGAGTTCCCTGGGCACTCACTGCTACCATAGGCAGATATACAAGAGACGGTGACGCTGATAAGAATTTTTCTACTCGGAGAATGCTTAGATAGCCTACATTACTAGATATGTCGCCCTCCCGCTGTCCTGTGATACATGTCAGCTACAACTGCTAAAGCATTTTCTCATTCACTTGCCTCCGTTGCAGTCACTTCCTGCTGCAATCCACTATTGGTCTTAATGCCAAGCTGCCCACCAACCACATAGTCAACTCTGTGTGCGAGCATGTGTGATTCTCTTTCTGTGTGTGGTTGTATGTGTGTGTGTGTGTGTGTGAGACTGTAAGCCTAGCCTTCCCAAAAAGGTGTAAAGGACCATTTTGGTTGGACACAAACAAGTAGGACATGACAAGGAAATAACAGGACGATCTCTCTGTTTCTCTGAACAAAAAAAGATGGATTGTTGGGGCCACTTTCCAATTTTCATCCAGTTTGGGACAGCATGTCTTAGAAATGTAGCATTGTGATACAGATTATGTATATAAAGTCTTACTGCAGTACTCTTTGCCTTCATCTTCTCAGTTATGCTTATGATTGTGGGGGAGAGGGGAGCAGGTGTAGCATCCATTTGGAGCAATGCTTTCCAACCTTAGCAGCTTTAGAGGTGTGGACTACAACTCCCAGAATTCCCCAGCCAGTAGCCAGACTTCCAGGCGCTGAAGTCCATACCTCTTAAAGTTATCAAGGTTGAGAAACACTGATTTGGAGCATGCAAGTGGGACTGCTTTGGTAAAAGTTGGAGTTTGACTATCAGACTGATTTGCCTTGACACAAAATATGGATTTTAGCTACACAGGGAAGGAAGAAAATTCTTTGTCGTTACCTAACCTGCCCTTTTAAAACTAAACTTTGCTTTGTTTAAAAAAATGTTAAAAGGAAAAAAAGATTTGAAAATGTCAGTTTTACACTGATGTAATATGCTGGAGTTCGATCATTATTGCTACAATGGTCACGATCACAAAGACAATGTTGAAATTGGAAAACTGTTTAAAAGGATATAAGAAATAAAATTATGCTAATTACATTTTGTTGGATTTTAGTGTTGCTTTGATATTAGGAAATTTGGGGCATGTTTTCTGTTTGCAATATGACAAAAGGTTTCTTCTCTCTTTAGAAAAGATTGAAACAAACTAGATACAGTATTCAGCTGTGCAAATATGCTAGGCTGAACACACTGTCAGCATTTTGTGTAGAAATGTTAGAAAGCAATACATCATAAACATATTGTTTTTTCCCAAAATCTCTCAAATTAAACCTTTGTATAATGGCATAATTTATATTTTTATTGAGCAAATAGATATCCTGCTTTTAATCCAGGAGCATGATCTTTCAATTTCATTTTTTCCTGTAACAACAAATTTGTTGTAGTACTGTACTCCTAGAGTGAGCGACTATGACTGATACCAAATAATTAAGGGTGGGGGATGGATTTGATTGGTGTAGCTGAATAATACAGCACATACTTTGCAGTATGGACCCAGATACAATTGTTTGCAAAGGACTGTCCAGAGACTGGCTAAAATAACTGGATGAGGTTACCAGTAAAAAGATTAAAATCTGTAAGGTTTCTTCCCATTGGGTTTTATTGAATCATTTGTTCTAACTAATGTTGTCTGAGAGAGTAGATGGATCACTAAAATATTTTTGAAGAAACCTCCTGCTGGGATACACCCTAACTGCTGGGCTTTATTAATATGGACAAGCACAAATGTAAGTTTAATCCAGTTCATATTAATCCTAATTCAGCAAACCATTTATTAAGATTTGTTCATGTCCAAAGTGTTAACCTATCTTTTTTCTTAATTTAACTCAGTAGATCCTACTTTGTATTTAAGAAATTGATTCTGAATCTCAACAAGAAAGAATAAAACCATAGTGTGTAATAAATCTTGGGATCTGAATGCCACCCTCAGCCTGAGGTGATATAGGTACTACCCCCCCAAAATCCACCTCTTAGACCATTACCTTTATTAAATTCTTCCCTTCCTCGTTTGTCATTTAGTAAGTGGAGATAGAGTAAATGAAGGGAAATGAAGGAATTATCAAAGGCAGGTCTATTTATACAAGTTTATGTAACCTGTGTATAAGGGCCCATACTTCTCTGCTTGGGAATTATCTTTCCACCAGTTTACTGAACACTCTACTAAAATGTCCTTCCTATCACAGAATGAGAGTTAGCAGAATCCCTAGCCTGAGGTAATTATTGTAAAACTAGTTTAGGTCTATGGATAGATACATGTTCCATTTCCTGTAGGATTATCTTAACAACCATCAGAAATGGGAGTGGGAGGGGAAATGTTTTTGGAAAGAAAAGGTATTTCTAGAATGCTTAGTGGAAAAGTTAATTACTGACTAAGAAATTGATAATAGAACAGAATAAATTTAGCAGGGTGCAGCAACATCCATTTTCTTCTACCAAGTCACAAATGAAGAAAGGAAGACCAATGGCTAAATAAAGCTGAGAGTCAATGGTAGATTACCGTCTGAGATAGCACCTCCAGGTGAAGCCAGAAAAAATACATAAGGTTTTATATATTGGAAGATACATATCCTATTTATCCAGCCTCTTCCACACTGTGTTCTTTACAGTTGGCTTCTCTGTCATATGATCAGACTGTTTCCCCCTTGTTTTTCAGTGGGGGGTGGTGTCTTGAATTATATTCCTTTCAAATTGTGCTGCTGCTGAAAGGTAGCGGTTGCCTCAGAAGGCAGAGTAAGGGAATTGCCATCCCAACCTGATGAACAAGCCTCCCAAGGGACCTGGTCAGTAGAGTCACAAGCAGCCATTTTTGTAAGGCAGGCATCTCTTCATTTCACCCCAAAATCATTTCTCTAACCCTGATGTTTGTTTATGGCTTGGTAAATGGGGTTGATGGACGTCTGCTTTCCCAACAAGGTCTTCAAGGTCTCTCAATGGCTTGTACATTGTAACATTTTGGAGGAAGAGTATCCTGGATCACCTCCAAGTTCTTGATATTTACAAGGATCTCAGTAATGCTACTGTCCAGCATCTGGACTCGAAGCTTCTGCCGGCTGGCTGTTTCCTCCAGCTGCAGCATCATTTGTTTCAACTGGTTGTTTCTTGTTCTTGCATTGCCAAGATCAGTTTCAAGCCTGTTCACACTTTGCTCATCCACATCCTCTGGTTGTCCTAGCAAAAGAGTAACAGAAGAATATGTTGTGCTAAATCCATAGTTCCAAACTGCTACATAGGTAGCTACCTCATAATCCAAGAATCAAATCTTTATAATACTACTTTCTGAACTTGTTAACCAATGCCCACCTTTTTCTCAGATTCCTCTGGGAAATGACAATGTTTATGATAAATGTATCCTTGAGAAAGGGGATGGTCTTGCCAATACTTAAAGAGGGAGTGTTCTACCCCCTGCTCAAGAATCCATTGCTAGACCTGACCAGTTTGGACAATTTATGTTCCCTTTTTAAGGAAGGTTGTTAAGAAGATGATCATGTTGGAGCTTCAGACAGGAAGATGGAGAGCTAGAGGAAACAGATAATCTAGACCCTTTTCAATATGATTTAAGACTGGTTATGGGACTAAGACAGCATTGATCAGATTTATGTATGATTTATGAATGAGATGGAAGTAGTTTATCCATCCTTGTTCTCCTTAATCTCTCAGTAGTTTTCAATACTATTGATTATGGCAGTGGTGGCGAACCTATGACACAGGTGCCAGAGGCGGCTGTTCTGTCCCAGCCTATGTCCGTCCTTGTTAGGTCACAAGAACAAACCCCTCTTAAACAGTAGGCTGGGAAAACCAACCTCTTTTTATTTCCAAAACAGTCCTGATAAGTTTTTCTCCAAAACAAAAAACACAGAATACTTTCCTAACAGATAATTGGTTACAAAAGCAAACAGAGCAGAAGTTTAAACAAGAAATTCACTGATAAACAAAACAGACCATGATCCTTGGAAGTTCTTTACAAACGGTTGCCTTCAGCAACCAGCACCGCCCACACCTTCCCTTTTTATAAAGCAGTCCCAAGGCGTGGCTTCTCACTGCCTTCTCCTCCTCCCCTGGAGTTGTCATATTGACTGCTGCTGATCTGCTCTAGCTAATTGCCTGCGGCTATGAGCATCAATCATGTCCATCAGCTGTGAATCCTCCAAATCCGACTCACTCTCCCCACACAACTGAGCTTCATCCGTAACACGACTGGAGGGGGCAGGCTCTTCATCAGACCGTGAGTCTTGTAATTCATCAGAGCCTCCCTCTGACCCTGATGGCCCTCCAAATGCCTCCTCCACCTCCTCCTCAGATTCCCCGGACTCAGCTGTTGGGAACACAGGCTGGAACGTAATCACGACAGCGGCACTCAGAGCCCTCTCTGTGGGCACGCGCGCCATCGCCCCAGTCCTAGGCCTTCAGCTGGGTTTTATAAAACCTTTTCGCTTTAGGCCTCCGCCGCCATGTACAAAAAAAAAAGGTTCAATCAATCAGTCAATTTCAACTTCTTGCAGGAAAAAAAAAGATCTTCCAAAGTTGGAATTGATTGAACTTTTTAGTCCCACCCAGTCTGCTGTTACCATAGCAGCCACGCCCACCCAATGGGCCACACCCACCCAATGGGCTACACCCACCCGGCACCTGACGATGCATAAGTGGGTTTTTGGTTGCAGTTTGGGCACTCGGTCTCTAAAAGGTTCGCCATCACTGGATTATGGTATCGTTTTTGACCAACACTATATTTAAAAGTTGGGGACATTATTTTGTTGCAGGATTCAATCTGGGTCAGTCACCAGGACCAGAGGTTTTGTCTTCTAAGCTTTTGGATTCATGCTGGAACTCGTCCTCAGGGAACTTCTCCCTACCAGAATATGTGCTTTGGGCTATTCTATGCGTAGTATTTATGGGGGCCTGGTTGGATATGGGTTGATTAGGATGTTGTTATCTTGTGCTGGTTTCATTCCCTTCCTCTGGGATCAGTTTTGGTGCTGATGGAGGGTGGAGGTCCTCAGGGCTTGGCATTCACCCCACTCCTGTTTGACATTTACATGAACTCATTGGATGAGGTCATGTGAAGGCACAGTATGCTAATGATGCTCAACTATACCTCTCAACCCTCATGAAGGTGCATTGGCTCCCAGTAGGTTTTGGGTACAATTCAAGCTGCTGGTTATCATCTGTAAAGTTTATCTGAGCAATAAATTTGCTAAACTGGCTTTTAAATTTTAAGTGAGGCTTTTAAGTGAAGATCAAAAATATTAAGTGAACTGCTTTTTATTAAATGCTTACATAATATTATCATATATTCTCTATCGTTGATACCTCAGTAGGGTTGTCTTTGTGAAATAGCCCAAATAAGTGAAAAGTACACATTGAATATCCCTTTCATACTTTTACAGACTAACATAAGAATTCAAATGATGATAAAAATTATTTGCCCTTCTGCCCTCGTGTTCAATGATCAGCACATGTTTGTTGTTGTCTGTTATAATTGACTTAACCTGATTAATTGACTTTCCTTGAATCATTCACTAATGAACCCAAATTATGTTTTAGCCATAAACGGAAACCACTTTGCTTCTTACCTATCGTGCGAGAAACATCTTCTAGGAATCTGAGTATGTCTTGGACAGCATTCGCAGTACTGACAGCCTTGGTTCTGGCTGTCTGGGATGCCTCAGTTATCTAGAGAAATATCAATACTAGATTATCTTAACCTGCTCAGTAGGCTTTCCAATGGAAACAGAAATTTCTCAAAGCTCCCATTATAAAAAGGCAAAGTCGGAAACTTACCCCTTGAGCCATGGAGGCATCCATGTCAATCTTCTTTGCCTTTTCTTGCAGTTCTTCCCCCACAAGTTTGACCTCATGCTTCAGAGACATGATCCCACTCTCCAAGACAAGCACACCATCTGCTGTCCGATTTGCTTCCAAGGCCAGCCTTCCGATCTCCTGGAAATGCAAATACAAGAAATAAATATAAGAAAATTAACAGAGGATATTCGGATGGCTAGTTGAAGAAACAAATTTGGTGGCTTGAAGTGCAGAATTAATAAGTGATTGTAACAATTTTCAAGCAATCCCACAAACCTGAGACACTAACCCCCCCCCAAAAAAATCCCAACACCAATGGTTCTATCAAATACCTCTTTTGTTTTTCAGGTTTACCACCCCATGTTTATGGAGAAGTTCAAGGCTCCATACGTAGTGCTCCTTCCACATGTTTCCCTACTAATGCCCTGAGAGATAGATTAGACTGAGAGAAAGTGATGGAGCTAATATCACTCATTGAATTTTTGCAAACTAGAACAGGAGCCTCCCTACTTTCAGTATTTTTTTATTTTCCCCAATGCTGAAAATTAATGGTACCCTTAATTATGGATTCAGACCCAAATCAATATTCACCTTTGAGCAATATCAGATGTACATAACCACAAAGGATCAGTTGATCACTCCAGTTCCTGCCAAATACTTCAATCTATAGATAAGATGAAAGCTGCTATAGCAATAATGGTAAGCAACTCAAGTGAGAGATGGGAAGTCTTTGATTGTAAATCCCATTTTGCCAGAATATGTGCAGTGGTCTCAGACAATCCAATAGTTCCCAGTTTCAATTGCCCATCCGCAATATGAGATGATTATTTATATATTTATTTGTATCCTGCTTTTATTATTTTTTTACAAATAACTGAAGATGGTGAACATATCCAACACATTTTTCTCCTATTTTCCCCACAATAAACCTCTGAGGTGGTTGGGCCAAGAGAGAGTAACTGGCCCAAAGTCACCCAGCTGGCTTTCATGGCTAAGGCAGGACTTGAACTCCAGTCTCTAGCCTGGTGCCTTAACCTCTAGACCAAATTGGCTCTCAATTATTCTGACCTATCTAATAATTTTCTTGTAAGAATGAATACATGAAAGTATCCATGACAGATTCTGAATAATCTGAAGTTGTATCCAAATGCCAAGTAAAAAACAATGTCTTCCTGTATTCATTGAAGTTTTGAAGGATGGCATGCTATTCAATCTAAACCTTTAAGGATACAAATTCAAATAAAAGAAAATCAAATTGCCATCCATCCTCAAGCTCACTAGTTCTTCCATATCCAGATTGTGCTAACCACAACCACTCTTTTCCGCTCCTCTGTACCTGATCAATGTTCCCAGCAATCTCCCTTGCTTCACCAGACATTCTCCTGGCTGCCTCTGCTTCATTAACAGCTTTGCCCAGGGCTGCTTCTACACGCCTCAGTTTTTCACGGGTGCTCACAACTTTATTGATGATGATTGGTAATCTTTGCATAGCATCCAAGGCTTCTTTTTGCTTGTCACCTACTTGAATATTTAAATCTATAAACCGAAGGTAGAGAAAAGAAAGATAAATTTTAAAAAGTAATTTTTTTTAAAGAGTAAGTTATTTGTACCTCAGTTCTGTTGAATTATCATTTTTCTAATACTTTGACATTAAAAGTTTGAGTAGATTAAGGAGGAAAATGGTACAAGATAGAGAATAAGGCGGACTTCATGCAGAGGCCTGGAGCCAGATGTGATGCTGCAACTTTAGAATCTGAATATTGAGTGCAGGGCTAAAGTTTCCCACCCTCTAATTCTGGATATTCATTAATTTAATTTGTGCCCTGCAGTGAATTCTCAGGACAACTTGCCAAAGGCGAGCATAAACAATCAACTCTACAATTTAATCCACAAAATCCAATTCTGAACATTTGATTAGGAAGCAGACAAAATCTTGCAGGATCCAATCTGGGTCAATCACCAGGATGAGCGGTTTAGTCTTCCAAGCTTTTGGATTCGTGCTGGAGCCCATCCTCAGGGAACGCATGAGAGAGAGAAATTCCCTGATGATGGTTTCCAGCCTAAGTCCAAAAGCTGGAAAGATAAAATCTCTGGTCCCGGTGATCAACCCAGATTAGATCCTGCAACATTATCCTGGGACATGTATATTCGCCTTCATTCACGAGACAAAATCTTCCCTAGATCTGGAATTGTCAACTACAAGCTTTGCCTCAAATGCCTGCTGAGATAAAAATGTTTTTACTGGTTACTAAAAGATGAGGGCAAAAGATGAGCATGTTTTCTTGGAGAGAGAATTTCCAAATGTTAAACAAACATCACTGAAAAAGCCTTGATTGTGCCCTCATTAGTCTAACCTCCAAACTGTTCCCATTTTCAGCCTCTTTTGAAAGTCTTAATGTATAGGAAGGATACTAATCCTGCCCAACCTTTTGAAAACAAAGCAAAAATGGAGAAAACTGAGATGTTCAGAATTACTCTTGTAAGAATCAGGAAATTCAGGAAATACGTCAGCATATTCATTGATACACAGTGCTATAAGAAATGCAAAGTAATATTTATGTGTTGTAAAGGAAAGTTGAATATATTCAAGCTATATTGTCATAGGACAAAAAATATAAAACCTTGATTTTAAAAACCAAGCTGGAATGTCTTCGCCCTACATGACCCTTGATTTCTTATTACATCTTTATGGCTCAATGTCTATGGAGATTCTCAGTCATCCAGGTCATGGTTTTCCCAAAGGTACTTTTTCAAAAGGCAATTGGACTTTCTTTGTTATTCATTGAAGATGTCTCACTTCTCATCCAAGAAACTTCTTCAGTTCTTCAAATCTCGTGCAGGCCTTAATTTGCAGAGAACAGAGGCCTAAAGTACCATGAGATCACACAAAATAAGTAGTGTGAGATCTCGTGCTACTGATCTCATGTGATCTTGCGGTACTTTAGGCCTCAATTCTCTGCGAATGCACCGAAGCCCTGAAGCAGCGAACTAGACCAAGAAATGAAGGCTCTCTAGATCTTCGCAAGATGAGTATCCACAGGCCTAGTGCCTATGGACACCAGCCCGGGGGGGGGGGGGGATAGGCAGGGCGAATGTTGCAGTGCCTCTGCGGTCATTCATAAGGGTGAACGACTGCTGTGGTGCTGCAACATTTGTAATTTCGGGACTTGTTTGTAAACACTAGGGCAGCGGTAGGCAACCTCGGCTCTTTTATGACTCATGGACTTCAATTCCCAGAATTCCTGAGTCAGCTATGCTGACTCAGGAATTCTGGGAGTTGAAGTCTATGAGTCATAAAAGAGCCGAGGTTGCCTACCCCTGCAACTAGGGGGTGCTTATCGCATAACTTCGAACGTTCACTAAGGGGTTACCTGTACTCCCAAGCCCCATCAGAAACTTGCAGCTTGTTTAGACCCATGTGCAACTCACCCCTCAGCTTCTTCAAGATATTCTCAACATCATTGAAAGCAGAATCACCAGCACTCACTGCCTGCTGGGCTTGTTGCTTGGCAAGGTTGACACGAGACAACAATTGAACTAATGACTGTAAGCAGAAAGCAAGACACGAGTGTGAAAATGCACAGCGTAAAAATTCAGCTCTACGTCTGTGCTGTGTACAGTAATAAAGGGCTTCCCTACTAGGGACTCAGAAGGTCAACAGTTATTTACAGACCAGGTTCAGACTTTTAGTATACTTCAAGGGATGTCTCTGTGCTTTCTAGTGGGGATTCATAAACTTAGTCAATATTTTTACCATTCACATAGAAACAAAGACCAAACCATAAACATGCCATAATGTCATAAAAACCCATGATTAAGATTTTGGTTGAAAGTTCTCTGCTGAAGAGTAAATATTTATGGACCCCAAAACTTACAATTTATATTTATGTTGATTGCTTACCTGTCTGTCATTTTGTCCTTTTTCCAATAACAGTTTGATCTCTTCCTCCCACTGCCCTAAGTTGTTTTTCAGCTGCTTGTACTCTACCAGGTAAGTCTCTATGAAGCCTGATAAAGAGTCCATTTTCTGCTGGAGCTGTCCAGCCTCCTCCTAAAACACCAGAGGATAAAATGAGGAAACACAGTGAACCACAAGAGGGCAAATTCTGAAATTGATTGGACTTAAACCCATGTATTCAAAGGGTAATTACTAGTTTGGCTTTTGTACTTCTGAAACCTGCAAGGTTGGTAATTCTCTTCCCAACATCCTCTGCTCCCAGGGAAGTCCTGGTTTCTCAGTTCTTCTCACATATCATGTTCTTAGGATACTTCAATGTTCCCACACTGACCTTGGCAGTAAAACCCCTTTTTAAAACTCCAGCTCTTCAGCAACACTTATCCAATCATTGTATCTCAATTGCACAAATCTGGTTGACCACTAGATCGGGGTAATCAACCTTGGCTCTTTTATGACTCGTGGACTTCAACTCCCAGAATTCCTGAGCCAGCTGTGCTGGCTCAGGAATTCTGGGAGTTGAAGTCCACGAGTCATAAAAGAGCCAAGGTTGACTACCCCTGCACTAGATGATAGCCAAAGGATACAAAAAAATCCCCCTAACTCTTTGCTGCCAGTGAATGGTTAAAAGTTCATATAGTCAAAACATTCAAATGGAAAGAAATAGGAAAAAAAAATAGAGTAACCCAAGTGCTAACTGAAAGAGGGGTGAACATAGTTGACAGTTTTGGGCAGATAGGCAATGTTGGGCACTGTCATCCGTGAAAGATAGACCAAACAGGAATAAACGGTAGATGAACTAATTCTACTTTACTGTAAGGTTACATTGACAGAATCTTGCAAATCTGAAAATACATTTCTTCCTCGGTCCCCTTTACAGCCCAAGAAACTAGGCAGGGATCTCTTCTGAGCCACTGGCCCCGTCCACATGCCTACTGAGGGCTAAGTTGCCTTTTCTGTCTGACTATTCTCTTGATTGTATCTCTTTGTCCCATCTCCCATGATCATTCCCACATACCATTACAGGATAACAGAATAACAGAGTTAGAAGAGACCTTGGAGATCTTCTAGTCCAACCCCCTGCTCAGGCAGGAAACCCTATATCATTTCAGTCAAATGGCTGTCCAGTCTCTTCTTAAAAACCTCCAGTGTTGGAGCACCCACAGCTTCTGGAAACAAGTCGTTCCACTGACTGCAGAGAGCATAGATATTATAACCAAGGAGACAACTAATCCTGGCCCTTGGGATGTCATGCATTAAGTTGCATAGACAGCAGCACCACACTGACCCATTTCTGGGTGGGTGGTAAAGTCACATTGTGGGCAGCAGAGGGGGGTGGTCCTGTCAGAAGAACACAGCAAAGCATCCTTGTGGATACAGCCAGAGTTTCTCTCTCCCCCTGCCAGAATATCCCTTGTTGAAGAAATGAATGCATGAAGTAAAACAAAGACATTTCTGGAAATCTCTTGGAAGAACTACAATTGATCACAAACACAAGCCTTACCTGAAAAAGCTTTGTGTCAATCTTTGTTAAACGAGTCAGGGAGCCAAACTGCTGCTGGCTATCTTGATAGACCCTTTCAGCGTTAGATGCAGCTTGGCTAGCATCAGCCTCCAGTTCCTTTGTCAGCAGCTTCAGCTCATCATATCTGCAGATCAGAATAAAACCTTTGAGCCTAAAAAGGGGGGAGTCTCTCTTCCCCACCCCTTAATGCTTTATCTTGACTTATCCCATTTTGACTTAACTCATATGTAATTTGGAGAATGCAAAATCAGAGTAGCGTAAACTGGGCTCAGGAACTATAAGAGATGGCAGTGCCAGTTCCTGATATTGGACTAATCTTGGCCTCATGTGGGAGGAACCCTCAGTGGGGATGACTTGTCTTACTTTGCAATAACAACATTGCTAATCTACACATAGCTCCCATAAATATATGGTTTGCTTTTAACAATCACATTAAGATTTTGATATGATATGATGCGATCTGGAGAAGAAGTAAATGATGTTAAGTGTGGAAATCAGGAAACCCAAGCAGTTCAAATGAACATAAGGATTTATTGCAAGCTTAAGCTCTGTACAAGAATCTGAACTACTAAATGGTCAAAGCAAATTGACAGTGGATAAGAGTTAATGGAATTCAAAGTGGGCTGGAGTTAGATCTCTTGTGGGCATGAAGGAACTCGAGACTGATGACACATTTGACCCCTCCCTCAGGCTCAGCAGTCTCTTACAGTAACACCGCACAAAGCCCACCAACTCACTTTTTCTGGAGCCCTTGCACAGAGGTTGTCCCAATACCTTCTCCACTTGCAAAGGCCTGCAGCAATGCCAGTGCTTCTTGGGAGGCATCTTCTGCTGCCCTAGTTGCTTCCTCAATGGTATCTGCCAGCTGCAGATGACTGAGAAAGAATAAGAAATAAGCTGGTGAGACAGTGAAGTTTATCCATGGGTATCTACCATCCTTCTCTCTTACCCACCCACCCCCAAATATGGGAGAACCATATTGGCAAAAACATGAAGCAATTTGCCATCGTTGTTGGACATGTTTAAAACTTCTTGATCTAACTTAGAGCTTCAAGATTTTACAGTGGACAACTTCTTAAAAAGTTGTTTGGTTGATGTTTTTAAAATGAGTCAATTAACAGAAACAATGTTTGTCAGTCTGGGGCAGAAAACAATTGATTCACCTGTTTGCTAATTTCATGGCTTCGTTGGCTAAGATTAAGAACCTGTTCGAACCACTTCCGGTGGCATCTGGAGATGGCACAATCTGAGGAAGGAAAAAAGTAATATTAAGTTGTGATTCCATCATGACCCATATTTCTTGAACACAAACATGGAATAGAAGACCTATACTTGGCAATGTTTTTCCAAGTGAAACAAAAATTGGATTCCACAAGGATTAAAACATTTCTCAAAACTGCAGATTCTATAAAGATCTCTTGCATTTTTCCACAAATATGTTTCTCCAGGGTGGTGCCCATGAGCTCCAATGTGCCTGTAGACCACTGCCTTGATGCTTCCAGCCTCAAAATCCAAAGCAAAGAAGGTTTTATGGTATAATGAGGATGGGAATGGGGAAGGTTTTTAATTTTATTTATTACATTTATATGCTGCCCATTTCACTCTCCAGAATTATTCTGGGCAGGTTCTTCCTAGAACCTGTACTTGTTGCCACCCTAAAATTCCTATAGAAATGCTGAAATTGCCCTCTAAATGACAGAGCTGGGTTTTGGTGGGAAAGTTGGGACACAATAGGAACAAGGACTTCACAAAGATTTCCCATTCCCATGTTTACCCTTAAAGTGTGTGTTGAGGGGGGCGGGAGCGCCATCAAAATGCATCCATTTTGCCACTGGATTTTGACAACATATTCTTAAAATGCTAAAGACTTGTTTGTGTTTGTAGCTATCCATCCATGATTTACAATAGGCTCATGCTTTCTAAATTTCATGTACCCTACTGGCCCAAAAAATTGAACAAGGGAAGATACTTGCCACGCCTTCTATCTTTGCTTTACTCTGATCCAAATCCAAGTAGGCTTTCTCAATCAGCCTCTGGACATCTTGCACCTGACTCTGGTACTGATTGCGCAGAGAGTTCATCCTACTGGCTATTTCATTTATCTCATCCAGATGACTCCGGTAAGTGAACTCTTGGGATTTCGCCTTAGAAAATCGGTTTCCCAAAGCCCTGCCAGTAGCTAATGTGTCATAAGAAAAGGACAAGAAACAGAGGAGAACAAGAATCAACATAAATCATATTGAAGTAGAAATGATGTATATGGCTGGAGCAAAGCCAACTAAGCAAGCAGATACAGTAGATTTCATATGATTTCTGGAAAATCCCACTTAGAAAGAATATCTCATGGTGACAGATAGGAGAAGAGATAGCTGCCTACTCTTCATCATTATCAGAGATAAAGTGGACAGGCCAGTTTAAATGCTGTTTAACATATTTTACCCCCTAACTTCAGATTACCCTGTGTGTACAGACTGTGGTTCCCAAGTTGTTTGTTTAAATTAACCAGATAAGGATTGTTATTGGGATCACAGCAGATAAGAAGAATGGTATAACACTTTCCTTTTTATCCATGTTCCAGCCAAACATGTCTTGTCATCTGAGATTTGCACTAATTAGCACTTTGTATTAATTCATTTGTATTAAAATAATAGCCATGGCTAAATATTGCATATTACATACAAGATATGCTTTGGCTTTCATTTAAATAGTTCCTTGATGATACATGGTTGGAAACACCCAGCCACAGTAATAGTAACACTTTTATCAATTTTTGACAATGTTTTCAATTTCAATAATTCAATTTTTGGAATGTTCCTTCTGTATGTCATCGTTGCTTTGAAAATAAACCAATTTCAGAAGAAGCTGGAAAATTAGGACCCATAAAGTGGTTTTTTTTCCCTCAATAAAACTGCATGCTCACATTTCATCAGCTTTTTAAATAAATTGTTTTTTTTATTTGTGCTTTACTATGGCCATGACTAAGCCAGGATTAACACTCTCAAAAGCCACTGATTCCAATAAAATACTGTATGAAACATCTTTAAAACATTCCCAATTTAAAAAAACTGGAATGAAACGGAATTAACTTTGGCTGGATTGTACTTTCTGCAATGAATTTGAGAACTACTGAATTTCCTTAAACTTTTTTTTAATGGTTCAGTACATATTTGAAGACTTATGAAACTCTAAGTTGAGGAATGTAGAAAAGGAGTGGAAAGAGCCATTTCTCAGGGGACTAATAGAGATTCAGTATGGCCAGGTTCTTTTTTTCCTGTAGGATAAAACTCCATGTGGTTCTCTATTGAAGACGGGCAGTTTGTGCCACGTGGAAGCTGAAGCCTGACAGAGAAAGAAAGCAGATCTTTCTCTAGTTGGTGAAGATCATTTATCTTTCTTTGCCTGAATATTAATTTGGTATATTTCAAAAGAAAAATTAAATGCATTGTTGTTAGTTTTTATACAGTATATAATTTGGATGAATCAACTCTGACCTTTTTTTCTGTAACATCTGTTCTCTCTTCAGACCACAAAGGGATTTGGGAAGACATGAGTTTACCTTGTAAAATTTCTGTGTCTCTCAAAATCCTCTGGAGCAGTTCCTCTGCTTCCCTCATTTTCCTTTCCAGCTCAATGTAATCTGCTGGCTGTCCACTTGTCTGGACTCGAGAAGCAAATATCTCAAGTCCCTGCAGCTGCTGGAGGTATTGATCTATCTGGAAGCAAAGCATATCATCTCTGTTAGCAGGCTAAAATGAATTTTAAAACATGGCTAAAAATCATCCAGAAAATAACATTCAGAACTTGCTTAGCGACTCCAGAGACCTTAAGGAACTATAGAACTGAGGCTCAAAGGAATCAAAACTCACATATGTGTAACTTTTATTTCAGTTGCTCATTATGGTGGCTTATTCATTGCACTGGTACTCAATTCTTCAACACTGAGAACAATTAAAATGCAATTACTGGGATGTCTCTCATTTCTGCAGGGCCTAAAGTAGTTAATTAACCTAAAAACCGACTTATTATGTGCCACTTATTTATTATTTATTAATCTGGTTAAAATCTGGATTGGAAAAACACTATTTTTAAAGATTTTAATTTTTAAAAATCCAACAGCAGATGCCTTATTAGTTGAGCATTGCAAAAATTATCCTACACAGGGTCAAGCGCCTCTTCCAATATGATGCCAACTGGACATGGATGCCTTTTAAAGAAAAAAGAATAGGATTTTTCACCCCCTCCTGAATGGAATACTGGTTTTGCTCATAGTGGCATGGGAGGGAAAATATTTTCCACACCACCAACTGATATAAACATGGTACCAAAATACCAAGAAGAGAAGCCTACCTGAGTCTTCAATTCATGGTAGCAGATTGGACAACGGGTGTGTTCACAGCTAGGCCCTTCAAATCCTGGCTTACAAATGCAGCTGCCATCATTACGACACTGTAGGGGCTCAGAACCTACTGAATTGCAATTACAAGCTACCAAAGGTAGGAAAAAGCAGAATATTTAGAGATGGTTTGATCAGAACACGTAAACTAGAAAAGCAATTTCTCTTTCTTTTAAGGCAGCTTACTTCAACCTAAACATTTTGTAATTGCAATCTTCAGATCACCATCCATCCATCCACATAACCATCCATATCACTTTTGTGTTGCTCTAGGCAGCTTACAATAAAATAAATAAAATATGCAATATAAAAAATAAAAATATAACATATACCAACTGGGCGTTATCCAGCTAATCATTCACACAGTCAAGAGATGGGCTGTATCCAATGGCCAGGGCCCTAGTCTGGAGCTAAAGCCTAGTTTTCAAGGCCTTACAAAAGACAACAGGATGGGGCCAATCTAATTCCTGGGATGATGATGCTCTAGATCAGAGACCCCAACCTTTTGGGCACCAGGGACCGGTTCCATGGAGAGAGGTTTTTCCACGAACCAAGGGGGTGTGGTTTTGTATGCTGCCTCCATCCCATGGATGAGGCTTTGCTTGTTTGTGCAGCCCAGTTGCTGGCATGCCGCGGCCCAGTACTGGTCCACGAACTGGGGGTGGGGACCCCTGTTCTAGAGGATGGGTGCTATGGCAGAAAACGTTTTCCTTCTGAGCCCTGCTGGCTGATAGTCCTTAGCTGACAATACCCAAGGCATGATCCCAATCATGGTAGAGACAATTGAGGAGAGATTTGTACTCAGTACAGTCAGCAGCTGGGAATTTTGGTAGATTCAGACCCAATTCATCTAGAGGACAGCAGTTTATGAAAAGCTGTACTAACAAGAGCACGTTATCTTTGATAAAGTGTCAAATTATGAAAGTCAAAATAAAAAAAACCCCCAAGGATAAATGATAGACGGATAATTCACTTCAGTTTTGGCTTGCCATTTATCTGTAGCAGATGGCAGCAGCAAGCCAGCCTTGGCTTATCTCAAAAAAATTAAGCAGGGATGAGCTAATTAGATCTTGGATGGAAGATCACCTAGGAATCCTAGGGAGACTAAAACATTTCAGAACGTTATGACAAGCATTACAAGTACAGGGAAGAAAATTTAAGAAAATGTCGTAGATTTGACCCTCTTTAAGGTTTTATTTTTGTTTTGTTTTTTAGTGATAAAGGCAGGTAGGGGTAAGGTGCATTCAGATTTGCAGAATCCAACCTGTACAGGTGGAATAATTAGATTTTTTTCTTTAATTAGGAAAAAGGGACAACAGAAGGAGTGATCTCTATAATGCAGTGTTTCTCAACCTTGACAATTTTAAGGCATGTGGATTTCAACTCCCAGAATTCCACAGCCAGCAATGCTGGCTGTGGAATTCTGCGAGTTGAAGTCCACATGCCTTAAAATTGTCAAGGTTGAGAAACACTGCTATAATGCCTGTTGACATGAGCTATACCAGGGATAGGCAACCTTGGCTCTTTTATGGCTGGCTCAGGAATTCTGGGAATTGAAGTCCACGAGTCATAAAAGACCAAGGTTGCCTATCCCTGAGCTATACTATTCTAACTTGGTAAATCAATACAGCTGATAAAATCTCAAATGAGAGTTATTTTTCCCTTATTATCAATGTCCAGAAGTCAACTGAATGGGCCTAAGTCACACATTAACCTATGCTCTCCAGCCTTGAGATACTTCCCAGGGTCAAGCCAATCCAGAGAAATAAAGCACATACACAATATGGAGCACTACATGATGGTATGCCAAACCAGCAAGGTATGTTAGTGCATATTTACATCTCTCATTAATAGTTCCCACGTGCACCTATGCATACAACTAACTAACTAACTAACTAACTAACTAACTAACTAACTAACTAACTAACTAACTAACAGAACTGCCTTTCCAACCCATGCACTTCTGACTATAGGGACAATAACCTAATTTATAGCTCTCCTGTGGAAGTTACACAATTGGCTATAACCAATAATATCTGGCAAGCATCTTGTGTTGGAAACAATTTATAATTAGCCTTTCATGATCCCTTGATTGCCCTTGTTCTGGTTTACCACCATTCTTTCAGTATAATTGAGATAAAGCTCTCTAGTTATACTGACTTTGAAATCAACCTTCTCTCTGTGCAAGATGATGGTGTACCTTGGCATTTCTCTGCTGGGTTTGTGGATAAAGTTTGTCCAAAGAATCCATCCTTGCACTTGCATTCCCCTGTCAAGCGGTCACAAGTCCCTGAAGCATTTGGGTCGACAGTGTTACACCGACATGGCTGGCAGGGTCGTACTAGTCCACTCCCACCCAAGGGGTTTCCAAAATAACCATTGGTGCAAAACTCACAGCGAGAACCTAGAAAGAAAAAGAACGGTGAAAAGCAAGCACAGCAAGTCCTGAGTCAACCACACAGGAACTCTCTCCCCCCCCCCCAAACTCTACCTGGAACACAGAGCTAAATAAGCACCCACATTCTCTAATCTGTGGGATTCTGTGTGCACACAACTGTCTCACAAACGTGCAGTTCAGATTGTACACTGTGTTTGAATTATTCCTGAATTCTTTAATATTAACATGTGTTATCCAGGGGTATTTATAATCCAGGCATAAAATACAAACAGGATCTGCAGTTGTCACACTTTGGGTTACAAGAATATGTACACGAGTGCTTAGAACAAATTATTGAGGTGATGGGAAGGGAACACAGGATATTAAAAAGAATCTGAAGTCTCAATTTTTTAAAACAATTTCAGAAAAAGAAGCTTTGTACTGTCAAAGTTAATGGAGAAAGCAGGGATGTTTAGAATTTTACTATCTGCTGTTTATCTGCTAAACCTTCTCCACTGGTTTTTATGATATGCACTTGCAAGAGCAGTTCTTCTACTTGCCTTCAAATACCACAAAAAGTTCAAGAAACCCTTAACCTGATTAACCCAAAAGTGTTACATGAACAAAGCCTAAAACAATTCATCACAATAATAAAATATAAATACCATAGTGAAGTAAAATATTTAAATGCATGTATACACTTTTTTCTAAAATCACGCCTCATAGCAAAGCCCTCTTATTTTTCTTGAGGATTCTTTTAACTTCATATTATTTTCAGTGCATTATATGGTCAATCTTAAATTGTCTACAAGAACTTGACTACAAGAACTTGAACGGCGTGTTCAACTGCTAGGATAGCGAACTACAGGTGTAGTATAGCATTAAACTAATACCTTTCTTTGCCTACTCAGATTGGAATTCGATTTATTGAGGTAGGAAGAAACTCATGTTTCTCTTCAAGGCATACAGTTCCCTCTTTCAAATTTGTCCTATGTTTCTGGTATGTCACTCCAGGCTACAGGCTGAGCTATAAAAGATGGAATGCTCTTCCATACAAAATAATTGCTTCCATAGATAAATAAATTTGCGGGTAACAAACTGTTTCTTAGATTTCTCCCATTATACTACTTTGATTGTCTAAGAAATAATTCAAACGGAGGCTGTATTTAATCCTAAATCTTAACTTCTACTCGGAAGTGATTCAGCCCAAGCAGAGACTAAACATTTCATTAATCTTGTCTAGTCATAAGTCTAGTCATTCACCAAAAACCAGATTTGGAAACCATGGTGATTCCACAGTAACCTGTGCATAGAAAAGAGACGGAGCTTGCATCACAATGACACAATACTTCTGGCATTAATCTGATTCCCCTTAGATCCCTCCCCTATACAAATCACTGGCCACTACTGGGTTTCTAAAAAGCAGCACAGGGAGAATGCATTTTAAAGGAAGACAGAGGAAATAGAGGAAGGTTACATAATGGTTTCTTGACCCCCTCCCCAACCCTGTCCAATGTTTAATTCTCAGTTGCTGCAAGGATTATTTGGGAAGGCTAACTATTGAAGAGAATGGCATATTCCTCTCTTTGCTTTTTTTGCTTTCTCTCTGCAGATGGACAGAGACTGACATCCCCAAACCTGTCTCTGTATGCCTTGTTTCCCTGCCACATATATATCATCGCCCTCCCACCCCTTGGCTAGACTCCTCCCACCCCTTGGCTAGACTCCTCCCACCCTTTGGCTAGACGCCCTTGCAGAAAAAAAGCTTGGGGGGAAAAAAGGATTATTTGACAACAGAATATAAATCGTACCACCAGTTCCTGGAGGACACCTGTTACAAACAACTTCCTGTGTGCCCGGCAAGACTGAGCAACCATAACCACTTTGGCATGGGCATGGTTGGCAGTTCTTTGAGTCCCAAGGAAGGCTGTAAAACCCAGTTGGGCAAGCAGTACTTATATGGTCCAGGGTTTCATCTCCAGCATAACACTCTCCTGAGCAAAGATGGAAAGAGAAAAGATAGAAGTTGGATGAAGCCTTGTATCACAATCCCGTGTCTTGTTTTCTTTTTATGGAGAAAAGTTTGAAACAGATGAAACAAAAGGAAAAATGTTGAAGGAAGAATCCATTAAATATAGAACAGATCTTGATATATCTAAGCTGGCATAGACAAACAAGTACTAAAGCAGCCTTTTCTGAAGAATATAAATAGACTTTTGAAGAGCAACTTTCATCTTGTGTGGCTAGAATAATTCCATTAATTTCACAAATGGTAGCTTATTGTAGGTATCAGGCATACCCACAATAAGTGGTACAGAAGATCTATTCATTAATTGAATCACAGTTTTTCATTCCTGAAAAATGTGGGATCTAAAACTTAGGAATGAGCTTGTTGCCTGTTGAAACTCAGACAGATGAAGGACTCTACGGAAAATAATTGCTTTTCAACAATTGATAAAGTATCAGGAAATTCTTAGAAGAGATGGAAAAAAGGAACAGCTTTCTCAATCCAAAATTATTCTTTTGACATCCAAGGAATTGCATATTAGGTAGCTTATTTTGTGTAGGAATTGCACTTTTATATAATCTAAAACAACATTATTACATAAGATATAATGGTACAGAACACTACTAAGTGATCATGTTGGGGGCAAGAATGACAGAAACAAGTCATGACAATGACAAGAATTTTAGCTGTCAGCCCTGCTCATATGGCAACAGGATTAAAAACTTTATAGCAGCTTTCTTATTATTATTGCTGCCATATGTTTGTTTTTTGGCAAGCCAAGTGGGCAAAAACCAAGGGCAAAAACAAGTAAAAACTGAATACCATATACATTCCAAAAAAATCTTCCTTCAGGTCTTTTTGAATATTAATTTACTAAACATTTAAAGCAGAAACTCTCAAACTTTTTATAGAATTTCTTTACAGCCAGGGACGCTAGTCACATTAATGAGTATGACTCTATCTCTATTTTATCTAAAATTGAGGACATATAATATGGAATATATGCTTGCCTGGTCCTCCTTCACAAAGTATTTCCTGGTCATTATAGACTGATCCCACAGTGATTTTGACATTCGCGCCCTTTTAAAAAAAATTGAATGGACAAAAAAAAAACAACCCACCACGACAGAACATTACACTGTGGATTTGCTTACCTGTTTCTGAATCACAAGTTCCTCCTCCCTTACACTGACACAGCACACATTGCCTGAAGGCCCCAAAGTTTCGTGAATTCTCTCTCTTGTATCCTGAAGCACACTTCTCACAGAATTGCCCCTGGTATCCAGTTGGACATGCACATTGCTCCACCCAGGGGGCCAGAGAGCCAGTGCTTGGCCGTGCCGAAACCAAAATGACATTACTGAGGTATCCTGGGACTAAAAGAACAAAAAGTGATTCTAGGGATTATTCCAGAGAAGAAATCGTGACAAAATTAGACAATGGCATCTGGATTGTGTCTAACAGAAAATAGAATATGTCTTGGGATTTCAGAGATCTACTTCCAGATGTCTTCTACATGTCTTCTTTCAACATTTGTTCTCTCCTATTTCTGCATTAATCTTTATTTTAAAAAAATTAAAAAAATAGTTGAAAGAAAACTAGATACATATGAATGATGAAATTTTCCCAAATATCCTCTGACAGATCTTGTCCAAACTGATGTTTCCAGATGTGCTGGACTTCACTTCTCATAACTTTTTGGCAACATGGTCTTTGGCTCTTCAGTTAAATAAGAGAAGCAGACCCCATCCCCAAGGAAAATTTTTTTGCAACCTTTTCTATGCTGCAGAAGTTCTGTGCTAAAAACACAAAGCAACTCTGAGAAACTTTCTGTGAATGTAAAAAATGACTAAAACCATGACTTTAGTTGGCTGAAATCATCTGTTTTTTAAGATGGTTTATTGCTTTCGGTTTTTAAAAATGATTTTATTGCTTTGTGTTCTACTGGATAATAAAATAGGATAGAAGTGTTCAAATAAGGAATCAGCAAAAAAATAATATATGACGACTCCTTTTTATGCCCAGTTGCTAATCCCAACTCACCAGTTCCATGAGCGGCTCTGATTCGAATTGATGACAAATTCCCAATTAACTGATGATACTCAAGGTTACTAAGCCTAGGGCTCCAGTTACTACTTGGGTGTTCATCTAACCTGCAGGCCAGAGATAAAGAAAGTTATATGGGGGGAAAAATCTACCTAATCATCATTCCATATAAAATATATCTCCACAAACACAGTAAGAAATAAAAGAAAGAATGTACCAAGAAAATGAGCATAAAGAATGAGAAAACAACAACACTCTGAGGAAGAACTGGAAATATGGCATAGATTTTCAGAGAGTGAAACAGTTACAAAAGTCAACTGCCTAGTAAATCAATATAATATATTTTTCAATAATTTTAGAGAGCCACCTATCCTTCTTTACTGTCAAGGAATCAAAGCTGCATCCAAAGCAACAATAAAAGTGATCCCTCTACAAAAATTTATATAAGGCTGGAGTAAACTTCCTTCAGATCCATTATTTCCAGCTGGCACGTCTGATGGCACGCAATGTAAGGGTTCTACTCCAAGTACAAGAACTGAATATGAAGATGCCGGGGGTGGGAAAGATTGAAGTACCATAATAGATAGTCAGCTGTGCTGTGCTATGGCTCAGTGTCACTTTGGTGGAATCAGTGCATAGATTATATCAGCACAAGTTCCTCTATGCTACAAGGCAGGATCAGTGGCTCAGCTTTTCTTTGTTCCAGAATTCCTAACATATTTCCATAAAGTTGTCAGGTTTACAGGACATAGTTGGAAAACTACATATCTAAACAATCAATTTATTGTAAAATAAAACCTTACAGAGCTCGTTCACATAGGAAGATGTACCACCTGATTTCTTCAACACAGCTTTTGATTATCTGACATTTTTTCACTGATGGGTAAATTGCTTATATTGAAAACAACTAAGGTGATACTGAATGATACAGAAGTACTATTTGAGATAATAAATCTGTGATAGTTCATTCAAATTTGCCTCATTTTGTGTTAAAGGGCTGACTCAGAGTAAGTGTACCATGTGAACCCAGAGTCAGTAATAGGGTGTCATTGAGGGAACTGTACTATTGTCTTTAATATTTGAGAGAGTCCTTAGATGTCCCAGGCAATTTACCTGTATGTGTATGTCTTGCTGATTCCACAAGGCAACATCCTGCCATTAGATGGGAATTGGGTCATGACTCTTAAGCCAGCTCCTTCCAAGATGACGTCGTGCTGTGAAGGGCGAAATCCAGGTCGGTTCACTCGATAATCAAAAGACAGCATCTGTCCATAACTCAGCTGCTGGTTCCCAAGGAATCTGGCTACAAAAAAAGTGCATAGTAAAAACAGCAATACAAATAAGAATTAAAAGTCTCCGCAGATGACATTTATAAAGAAAATACCATGGAAAAATTTTATCTAACAGTATCAACCTCCAGAGCAGGGTTCTCCAAACTTGGCAACTTTAAGACTTGTGGACTTCAACTCACCAAATTCCTCAGCCAGCCATGCTGAATGGGAAATTCTAGGAGTTGAAGTCCACAAGTCTTAAAGTTGGCAAATTTGGAGAACACTGCTTTAGAGCAAAATAAAGACTTAAAAGAAACAATGAATTTGAAAGGGTGACATCCCTTCTAATTGCATGGTTATGGCCTAGTTAAAAATCTGTCTATTTGCTTGCATATTTACTTAATTGTATATTTTAAATCTGTTTCAGACAAAAACATGTCAAGTTTACCCAAAAATATCTTTGAATACAGCCAAATAGATTTTCTAAACTGGCTGGACATGTGTTCCTTTGGAGGTCAGCAATATTGTGGAAATCAACCCAATTTACTTCCACTTCAACTGCTATATAGTTGCATCTGCTTCAAAACTATGCTTTTTATTCTTTCCAGCCCAAGAATACATTGGAAAGAAATTATGTACAAGGACTCAGGACTGTATCTGTCTATCTCCTATCATTAGAATAACTCTGTAAAAATAGAACGGAATGGGACCATACTTGCTATGGTGGAAAAAACCTACAAGAGAAAGACTGAGGTTTGACAATGGGCTGAATCCAGCCAGGTTTGCAGAGAAAAAAGTGACCCCAAGGCAACCTTATGAGAAAGGCATTTGGGCAGCACCTCAGAATATTGCAGCCTGCTCTATTCTAAGCCTTTCCTTAAGGAAACCAAATAGAATATATGCAGATTCTCTTGTGCTTTCTAGACCAGAGGTCCCCGACCTTTTACATAACCGGTCCAGCACAGGCACCAGGGACCGGTTCCATGGAGAAAGGTTTTTCCACAGACCGGAGAGTGCGTGGTTTTGTGTGCTGCCTGGGGCTTTGCTTGTTTGTGCGGACCGGATGCTGGCATGCTGCAGCCCGGTACAGATCCATGGACTGGGGGTTGGGGACCCCTGTTCTAGACCACACTAACACAAAACATAGAGAAGCAACATGAGGGGAGGGTGGAAACACATAATGCTCTCCTGAAGAAACTGCAGATATCTCCATGGCCTCTACTTTGCAAAGGGGTTCAGATTAGACTTTTGTGTCATCGGTTTTCTTGCCCAATCAAATTTTGTTCTGTTCTATTCAGTTTTCAGAGAGTCACTTTGCTGACAGACAAGCCTGTTTCCTAATTTCTTTCCAATATTTGGTTGGGTTGGAAAGAATAAAGAATAAAAAGCAATTGAGCAGAGATAAGTCAGGCTTGCTTTTCTGTTCCAAATATTAAGCTACTGAGCTTCCTTCCTTCCTCTGTTGAGAAGATTATTGAGGTATGGCAGTGATTCTATGTTTTTGTTAGCCTTTCCAGTAGACAGAAATTTAAAAAAGAATTATCTCCATTAACTCTTTTTGGGCATTTGTGGAATGATGGTTGTCTAGAAGTGTGCTCTTAAACAATTAATTTGATTTGTTTAGACACTTCAAGTTTGATTAGAAGTGACTAAATTACTCTGATTTGGATAGAGTTTTATTATTTCAGATCTGCTCTTCCTCAAGATGTTTGCTGGGAAAATGCCACAGTAATGGCTGAAAATAAATTTGCATACAAAAAGTCTCAGAATCTATTCCAGCATCTCTAGGTAACGTTGGGAAAGATTTCAATCTCAAATCTTGAAAATCTGCCATTGATCAGTGTCAACAATACCGAACTAGATGGATGAATGATCTAACTTAGTATTAAGCATCTCCCTGTTCTCTATAAAGCTAACAAATTTACCAAGAAAAGTAAATATATGTCCACACCAACAAGTTTAAGACAATCTCCTTGTTCAGCAGGATAATTATTCATTGCAGGCTTGCTGCATATTTTGGATCCATAACTAAGCAGTATTCAAGTCTTTTGGTAAGTTATATATTGAGATACAAGCTAGATCATTTTACATCCTATATAGCTCCTTGCTGAAAGAGCAGACTTCTTTTCAAACTAGAAATGCCCAACTGGTCAAACTGAATTAAATTTAAATTTAAATAATTCTTCCTAAATATGAAATTTCACTTTTTTTCATGTAGCCACACTGACTATGAGGAATGTTGGCTAAAGGATGACAGAATACCATGTTGAAGCATCCTTGGGAAAACTATCATATGCTCTATGTTACTTACAGTACATTGTTAAAATAATAGATCACCCCATTGCCAGAAAAACACATGTGACTATAAATGGGATCCAAGCTGGAATATATGATTATATAGGGAAAAAGTAAAGGTATATTTTGCTGAATGGTCCTTTAGAGGTGTTCCTCTCCACAATGGGATATATGTAGAAATATGCACCTGGAGCTACAAAATAGCTGGAACCCTGCCTTCTAGAAGCCACAGAGATTTCCTTGTGCTGTGGAGACCATTGGAGCTGTAATGGGGATCCATTTTCTTGAGCTTGCCAACCTTCATCACCTGAAGTACAGGAAAAGCACAGCTTACTGAACGGAGTTGGAAATCCACAGTTACTGCTTCAGGAAATGTGACAGGAGAGAAACAACTTTACCCATAGTGTGTAATTGAAACAGAGGTTAATGCATTTCCACTATACTTATGAAGGGATTTTATCATGCTTAAGGTTGATATTAGTAATATTGATATTAGTAGTGATATTTATCTTTGTTTATGTGCAAGCAGCTTTGTGGATGCTTTAGATTGTGAAATTAGTTATATAGAAGCAAATGTTTTATGCTTTAGGTATAGGTGATTGCTTATATGAAAAGAGCAAGGTAAGGGGAGGGGGGAAAGGAGTTACGGATGGAGCCTGGGTTACTGTGTATGAGTCATCATCTAGGAATTATTTTTGTGTGCCATCTTATGCCTAGTACCAAGACCTGATCTTTTTGTTCTGGAAAGGTATACAAGGTGGAAGACATCTTTTCTGGTTGTTGCCTTCATCTCTCTACCAGCCACGAAGAGAGATAGGGTCACCCAACTCTATTTTGATCAAAATAAAAGTTGTTTGCTTGCTGAAACCTCGACTCAGGAGTTTCTTTGGCTCTTTTAAATTCCTGAGTAATGCTGGGGCAATTGTGAGGCTAAGTGGAAAACCTTACACTTACTTCCTGAATACAATGTCTTCCTGAAGGAGGCAAAGGAGGAACACTCCTCGCCAGTACTGTCTCTAGCCCTGTGATACTTCTGTACTAAGAATATGATTTTGCCTAGAATGGTTCCTTGCTGAAAAAATTACTTCCTGCATTAAGGAAATTCCTGGGCATCTCTTTATAGACTCTTGCTTGTAGATATGCTACTTCAGAACACAGGAGCATTTTAGAGATATGAAGCTAGTATGCCCAAAGCAAGCTATCACTTTCTGTCTTGTCCCTTGAAGAGAGTTTAATAAATAGGGGAAAATACTGCAACGTGCAACATTAAAGTGACCGGAGCATTTCCAGTTACATGTTGGGCCTGTTTACTCTTGTTCTCAGTATCTACTGGTCGTTTGGGAACCCAAGTCTGCATTTCCCTAGATTTTTTACCAAAATCCAGCCATAGCTGCTTCACTGATATCTGTAAGAAGCCCTTATATTTTGTTTTAAAGAAATCCAAGTGACACCCTGTTTAATCTTCTGGTCTGGCATGTCTGAAAATGCAGAGACTCTTGAAAGTTCACTTAAAATTCAAAGAGCTCTTCAGTAAAATGCAAATAAGTAACAGGAGGGAATGATATGCTAAGTATGCTGGGGGAAATGAAAATATAGAAAGATAATTTCTTGATTCGCAGGGTTGGGGATTAGAGACAGTATGTCTCAGCAAGGGCCTAGTCCAGGGGTAGGCAATCTTGGCTCTTTTATGACTCGTGGACTTCAACTCCTAGAATTCCTGAGCCAGCATGGCTGGCTTAGGAATTCTGGGAGTTGAAGTCCACGAGTCATAAAAGAGCCAAGGTTGCCTACCCCTGGACTAGTCAGATCTCTGTATGATATTCATCCTCCCAAGGTCAATTGTTGTCAGCCAGTCTCTATGCTAGTAATATCTGATCTGGTCATATACTGAATTGTGGTCTGTATTTAGTGCAATTTTTTACCTTGTTGAAATGTAGTTGTAATTTTATACACACTATAATTTTTCCCACTGGAACATGTAGTTGAATGTCCATAACAAAAACATGGAGAACAGCCCTCTGGATTCCTTGCATTTAAGTTATAATAGCCCTGCTTGCATCTGTGAGAGAAAAAATCAAGACACCGAAGGTTCTCTTAAGCATTTTTGACACATTTCCATTTTAAATTCCTCTGCTTAACTGTTGTGATATGAAAATATCCAGATCAGTATCTACTTTTAAGAAACCTCTAACCATAAAACAAAAAAAACCTTCTGGATTTTGAGATTAGCCATCATTGGATATTCTAGTCTATCACTGCGAAGAAGCAGTGTGTTTCTAGTCAAATAATCATTTCATGGTAGAATGGCTATCATTTACCCCAATGCAAGTGAGAAAGATTTGTGCCTCTTTTTTTTTACATGCCATATCTTTGTTTACAGTAAAATTCAGGTACAGAGCCATCTGGATAGCAAACAAATTCCAACCCATACTTAATTTGTGTATTAATAACATAACTTTTGATATTAGATCAAGATCAACTATATCAGTGTACTCATACATCCAGAGAGCAGAGCCCCACATTGCAAATATCAACCCTTTTTCACAATCCATCAGAAATTGAACTAGCCAAATTAATTATATCTAAGGATACAGTCAGATACTTTGTCCCCCTGTTCAGTATCTGCATTTTGTATATTTTCAGACCATAATTTAAGTACATACTAGGCTGTAAACATGATAAATACTTCATGTTCATGTCAACAAATATAAAACCACAAAGTATGGAAAAGGTATTAATAATTAAAAGTTGTTAGACATAAAAGTGAAGTGGAATTTTACATTTAACTAGTTGCTGCTAGAAAACAAACAGAACATCACAACACTTCGGTTGTTTTCATACTTCATTCAAAACATTCCCAGGCAGGTAGACTCAAAGACTCTTGATCTCAGATAACATGAAATGAATATGTGTTGTTCTGCTCTAGAAGATCTTTGAGTGTGAGGTGTGAATCTTTGCAACAAGAAGAGACTCCTTCACTTGTATGTGTTTTGGAGAAAGTTGTAATAACTGGCTAAAAAGGACAGAATATACTTGAAATCTAACCTAGGTTTGGCCTGGATCTTTCTGAGGAAGATTCTAGGCTGATAAGCAATTTAGCCTAACTGCATATTTTATTACAGACATAAACATTTGGCTGACAGATACTTTTGATTTCTTCTGTTAAAAAAACTCAGTTATACACATTGGATACCGGCTACCTGAAAAGATGCTAAAATAGTACAGAATTTTAAAGAAAATTTTTAAAGAAGAATTCTTTAAAGCTGATTTACATGCAAGAGGCAATGTCCTACGATTGCTGCTCTGGTAAAAAGTTAGGTTTAGACTACGTGATTATGCCACTATGTGAATTCTGAAATAGGGCTTCAACCAATTCTAGCTTTCTAAGGCCTACACATGATCAAACATGATACTTTATATAGAGATCCCTCCTTCTCCTTTACAGAAAAGAAAAGCCAGAGACTAAGCATGCTGAAGTGTAAGCCTATACCAGGGGTAAGCAACCTTGGCTCTTTTATGACTCGTGGACTTCAACTCCCAGAATTCCTGAGCCAGCCGGCTCAGGAATTCTGGGAGTTGAAGTCCACGAGTCATAAAAGAGCCAAGGTTGCCTACCCCTGGCCTATACAGTTATGCTTGACTTAGGCTCATCACAGGGGTCCAAGGATATTAAAGAAATCAAAACACCTGGAATGATATACTTATGGAATTATTTAAAAACTGCAGGAGAAGAAGCAAGTGTTAAATACCCCTTATCAGCAAATAAGGAACAATATTTTTGTAGCGGAGAAATGTGTAAACAATGGTATAATTATACTAAGAAAGTAGATGCAAGAGAATGTGCAAAGTATCAGTTCCTTCCTCATGCAAGCAAACTTTTGCTTACAATTGTACAACGAACAGTTGAGCCATACATGGAAAGATAAATGCAAAATGTTCAAGTATCTCTTTAAAAAGGCAGAAGGGCAAGAGATCAAACAGTTGATGGATAAAACAGCAAGAACATTTAAGGAGATTTTTTACTTTTGCTTTATTTACTACAGAAAAGCCCCTTTGACTGAATCATTTGTGCTAAAATATGGAATATATTAAGGCTAGTGCGTTTGCCAGAATACTTGATCATTCTGAGGCCTTTGCAATGAACAAAAAAGTATTGTAAGAAATTATTTTGGAGTGAGACATACGCATATCTGTTATCTGTTTAACAGCAAATCCATTGTAAGACTAACAGGAATGGTGGAGATGACAGCTAGAATTCATAATTGCTGATTGAATCACTAACAGTTTGAGAACGAGGACACCATTTTCTTATGGTGTTGAAGTACACAAGACTTTGAAGGCTCATTAGAAAAATAAAAATGGGGAAAGAAAAAAAATCTGGATTTACATTTAATAATAAAAAGTAAAAAATGAGACCAACCAGTATGCTTGCTGAATTCAGATCTGATGCAAAAGTGAAGGAGGTAGACAGTTCTGTTCCCATGGGCTCAAAATAGAGATAGAGATAGATAATGGGGTGGAGAAGTCAAGAGGAGATTAATCCTAGAGGAGACAGCAGTAACAAACCTAGACAGGACAATGAAGGATAATGATATTTCTATGTAAGGCTGTGAAAGGGGTGAGAGAAAGGAGAGAGTTCTGAATTGTGAATTTGGAAAAGAGCAAGCAATCAGTTGGTTCTGGATGAAATCAAGACTGACAATTCCCTGGAGAGAATCATTTTAGATATGGGATGAAGGCAGATGCAAAGTTGGGTAAAATAGAAGGGGAAGATAATGGACACGGAGGATGGATTGCATCAATGGAATGTCTTTCAAAAAGCTGTGGTCATCAAGGTCAGGTCACCGTGGAAGGAATTTATTCATTTAATCATCTGAGATTTGGGCCAAGTAGATGATACCTATGATAATTAACTGGGAAAAGATGTGATTTTTTTTCTACAATTCTTTTTTCTGCATTGTTGTTTGATGCAGGTTCCTGTTCCCTCCCCCCCCCCCCCGAAATGGCAGGGCTTTGCTTTTTATTTATTCTCTAATTACTTGACACAGTTGTTTTATACTATGTTTTGCAGTGAACAAAAATATATCTGGGCACCCCAAAGTTCTCTTCTATTAAATTGGACATTATAGAGAAGCATATTTGCAAAAACCTTGAAACCCACAAATCTTTCCTCAAGGAAACTGAAATTGTCAGACTCTAAAATTGTAATTTGACACACCAGCTTTCTTACTTTATGTACTGACTTTGGCTATTTCTACTCTAAGGATTAGAGCAGTGTTTGTCAACTTTAGCAACTTTAAGAGGTATGGACTTGAACTCCCAGAATTCCCCAGCCAGCATGCTGGAAGTTGAAGTACATACATCATAAAGTTACTAAGTAGTAAATTAGAGAAACTCTAAATTAGAATGTCATCTTAGCATCAAGCAGCCATCACTATAGTAGTATAGAGCCCCTCATTACTGTTCCTTTGGTACACGGGTGTCAGATTCGATCGTGTCACATGACATATTGTGACGTATTACGATGTTTTTTGCCTTTGCGGAGCCGGGGTGGGTGTGGCCTGCACCTGATGGGTCGCCGGTTTGACACCCCTGCTTTCGTACAATGATAGTTGGATGACTCCAGGTTTTATGAATTGCTGTGGAGGAAATGACCTTTGATTCACTCTATTCAATCATCTTGATTAGTAATGCATCAGTTACATTTATGTGGGCTCATTCACTAAAATCTGATTGAAAGATGAATTGGAATCACTAAGCATAGATTTTCTGATGCATTTTTGGGAGAAATCATAGAAATGCCCCTTCCCACAAAAAAACAAAGCAAAACCTTTTAGCCATAGAAACTACATGCTCGCACCTGTCACATCGCTCTCCTGCAACTGCAGTCTTGCAGACACAGCGTCCAGAAACGCACTGCCCTGTGCTTCCAGATGGATCACAATTACACTGAGAGTTCCTGAGAAAATAAAACACGCCTTTAAATCTAACTTCTGTTTTCAATTGGGGAATTTGCAAGCCTTTCTATAAACAAGAAACAGAATAAAACAAGGCTGACTCCAGTTAGTCAATTCAATTCAAACTATTGAACATACAATAGGTGGAAAATTCTTCAGTACTGTATAATTGTCCATCCATTAGACAGTGTTTGTGAATAATATTTACATTAGATTACTACATATGGAATTGTAATTGTTAATTATGGTGATATACTTTATTTTTTCATTGTTTTAAAACACTTTTTATGCATTTTTTTCTGGAGAATGTATGTATTTGCATAATAATTATGTTTTGTTCTGCTACTATTTAATTTAAAATAAAATAATAACAAAACAGTGTGAAAAAATGAGTCATATCAATTGGACTTCTTTTCTTCAGTTGACTGCCCATTACAGACTAAGCCTACTAGCTTTGCAGATGTATTGTGTGAGCATGCTACTGATCACTTTCTTTCATCCCTAACATCCATTTTTTTCTAGAAAAAAACCAGGAAATTCACATTATTAGCTGATGAGAGAGAGTAGTGGAACTATTAAAAAAATGAACAGAACAGTATAGATCTGTACTGAAACTCCTTTTGTATTGTATTAATGATGGTATTTTTCTAAAACATAATTGCTGTTCAAATTATATGATTAGAATTAAAGTGTGCCATGTTTTTCAAGATCTGTAGTGTTGCAGTGATGGATTCTGGTGCTATAATATATTGGGTTTTTTTAAAAAAATCCAAAACCTACTTACAGTCATGGACAGTAAGAAAGTTGAAAAAGTTAGCAATGTGCCATTGTTCCATGTGTGAGCCTCCATTAAAAACATGAGTTTTTAAATCATGAATCCTGTTTTTCTTGGAGAGCTAATTCAAGTGTAGGCCTTGGTTGCCCTGGATACCTTGATTTTTTTTTTAAAAAAAGTGTCCATTCTCCTTAATATTCAAAGAGATGATACTTCCCAACCACTATCCACATATTTATTTGATAGAGTCTATCCCTAGATAGATATTAAATGCAACAAATGTAAACCCATTTTACATGGCAGTAGATAAAAGCTTTGATCTTCTCAATGAATTATAAGCAGACAGAGGGGAAAAAAACATAGCGTGTATTGAATAAAATCATACTAGAGTGATAAATTGGAGCAGTATTTCTCAATTTTAGCAATTTTTAGATATCTGGGTTTCAATTCCCAGAATTCCCCAGCTAGCCTTATTGGCTGGGGAATTCTGGGATTTGAAGTCCACACATCTTAAAAGTTACCAAGGTTGAGAAACACTGGGTTGGAGACAATATCATATAAAGTGAGAGTGACATATATGTCACTGGCTGGGTAAAAATGTTTGTATCGAACTGCTCTTGTTATGACATGAATGGAAAGATGAGAATATACCACTTTCTAAATAGTATACTTGTAGTCTTTAGGCCAGACCTAGGAGCAAATGGAATTATTTTCTTTTGCATCATTTTTTCAAATGTTCTTTCATTTTTTAGTTCATTCTATACATAGAATATATAGAATTTAAATGCTTGCTTTTAAATGCAGTTTCCCTCAAAATATGCATATTTAATGCATTATGGTTGTTGAGCCAAATATTCCATTGCAACATTCATACTGAAAAATCATACGGACTAGATGTTCTGATCCTCCCATCAGCAAAGGAGGTCAGTTCAGTTCACCACTGAGTACAGAAAGATCAAATTCTTTCAGCATTCCTAATAATATCAACCATCCATAAAACACAGACTGTCAAATTGTTTCTCCACTGCTGGGTCCCTGCTGAAAAAAATGTATCCGCACAAAGAAGACAGTATCCTCTGGTTCTCACATGTTTTCCAATGCATAAGTAAGCTTAGGCCTACTATATGTGGGCTGCAAAATCTGAGTCACCACAAGAGGGTAGTAAAGAAATAGTGAAAACCTCTCTGCCAACTAGTGGTTTTCTGGACTACTGCAATCTACATGCAGTAGGCCTAAAGAGATTTTTTTAAAATGGAGAAATTCAAATATATATTCTCACTAGGACCAGCAAAATTGAAAAAATTCAGTTTCCCTTATACAGTCTATAGCATTTTTAGCAAATGGAATGGGAAAGCTATGATTCAGTGCTTCTTTATGTAAAAGCACAGAACAGCAACCAGATTTGTTTTTGTTGCCTTATTAAAGCAAATCTGAATTTCCACAAAGACATAATTATTCGTGATTGACAGTTCCATAAACCTGAAGGTACTTACTGTATTTGCCCAACAGCTATGCAGCCAGCCTCAGAGAAGGAATGGAAATTATGCTGGCATCGGTCACATTTATCACCTGTCACACCAGGTTTGCAGTGACACCGGCCATGGTTATCACACTGTGCACTGACAGAACCTATGAAGAAGAAATGTGGAAATATAATAGACTAATTTCTGGCAGTATGGTTTATTCTCAACTTGTCTATGAAATTTCAAGCATTTCAGAAGAATTAGTGCTGATGTTTGGAAACAATAAGGCAGGGGTGTCAAACTGGTGGTCCACAAGCCGGATGCGTCATGTGCAGGCTATGCGTCATGTGCAGGCTATGCCCACCCCAGCTTCGCAAAGGCAAAAAACGTCATGATGCGTCACGCGACGCAATCGAGTTTGACACCCGTGCAATAAGGAAATGGAGAAGAACAAAAACTCTGAAGCTGAATCCCATAAAGTAAATATCACAGGTGGGTGCTTCTCAAGTCTTGGAATTAGGAAGGTGGCCTGATCTGGACGATGCAACATTCCTTCCAAGCAACCAAGTTCAAACTTAGAGACTCTCCTTGATTCCAGTCTATACAAGTAGCCCTCGACTTACAACAGTTCCTTTGGTGAACATGCAAAGTTTATAACAGCACTCAAAAAAGTGACTTAT